GGAGAGGTTCTGGGTGTAATCCAGATGATAATCTGGGTGTGCCCTCAGTTGGCAGGGAAATGTGGGAGTCAAATGACCTCAAAGTTTTCTGGCCTGAGAAAGGGTAATTATGGCATGGCCATTAACTGAATGAAGGAAATTGTGCATAGATCATGGTTTTTGTTTTCAAGAGTAGGAGGGAAAATGGTAGGCTCAGTTTTGTACATGTTTAGAGGAGTAGATTCAAAGAGAAGAAAAAGATATGCATTTAGGAGAAGAGACTTATAGATTCTGCACCTGCTCATTTATTCCTTCTCAGAGAGGTCCAATGCCACCACTTCCCCATAAGCCCCTCTGTTGTTGTGTTTTAGCTTCTTATTCAAAACACTGATTGACTGAATACAGACAGGAGATGCCATATTAGTAAGAGGGGAAACTGCTGCAAGCAGGCTTTTGTTTGTTTGTTTGTGTTTTGATACTGGGGATTGAGCCAGGGCTCTGAGCACTAGGCAAATGCTCTACCAATTTCCTAGCAAGTGAGCCACTTGAGACATGCTCCCAGCCCTTTTGTTTGTATTTTGTTTTTGAGATAGGGTCTTACTACCTTCGTTTGCACTGGCCTCAAACTCACACACTTCCTTGCCTCTGTCTTCTGAGTAGCTAGAAGTTCAGGTATGTACCACCACACTCATTTTGCCTCACAATCTTAACTGGTTTAGGGAAAATAGAGTCTGCTTCTGGTAGCTAAAAAATATACAGCACAAGTTTAAAAATAATTATGACAAAAGACTTAGCAGGATTTCATAAAAATGGAAGCCACAGTGCAGTTTTGAGCCCAATCCTCTAACGGAAAAAGATCAAACAAAAACCTATGGGTAGCATTTCCTATAAAAATAGAGAATAGAGCAAACCCTAGAACAAGAAGATGGGGCAAACCACCAACAGTAGGCAATTATCTGGCTGGCATTAACATTTGAACCAGAGGGAGTGGTAGAAAAGAGACCTCATACTGCCAGCACATGTCTCCTGGAAAGCACTGTGGGCCAGTTTGAGAGGAACAGCTGAAACTGCAAGGGGTTTTGCCCAGTTCCAAAGTGAGTACACTCGGTTCTCTTTGACCATGGGTTCTGCATGTATGGATTCCACCAAACTTGGATCTAAGATATTCAGAAGAGGCTGTGGAGTGAGTTAAGTGGTAGGGTGCTTGCCTAGCAAGTGTGAGGCTGAGGTCAAACCCCAGTATTGCCTAAAAAGCAAGTTTTCTTCAGAAGAGAAACTGTGTTTGAACTGAACATGTACAGAGTTTTTGGTCATTATTCTCTAATCAATACAGCATAAAAGTATTTGCATAGCATTGTACTTATTTGGTATAATAAATAGTCTAGAGATGACATCAGGTATACAGGAAGCTATATGCCAGTTCTATGCCAGTGTTACCCATTTTGTATAAGGGACTTGAGCATCCTCAGATTTTGGTACCTGTGAGAGGTCCCAGAACTAATCCCCTGTGAATACTGAAGGGTAACTACCTCTACAGGATCCCTTGATGGCATCTGAAGGGCTGAGGAACTCTACCCCTTTACATTATTGAAAATGAGCAGCCAAAGCTCTTTTTCAGAACAGAGGTCTGCACAGAGGAGAGATTGCTTTGACACAAAGATAAAACTCCAGATAGGAAACAGACAAAAATCACAGAAAGTGACCCACTATGTTTTTGAATACTAAAAAAAAAGAAAAGAAAACCTAAGAAACAGAAGAGTTTTGTGAGTTAGAAGTTATCCTCATGTTGGGGGTGGTAGTGTACACTTGTAATCCCAGTACCTGGGTGGTAGAGAAGGAAGAGGAAGAGTTTAGGCCAGCCTGAGCTATAGGCTTTAAAAAAACGACAGAAGGAAAAAGAAGAGAGAAAAGAAATGGCAAATGTACATGGCATAAAGCCAAGAACATTCTGGAAAGAACAAGGCCAGCACACTTAGTAACTCAGTATACGGCAAAGGTGACATTTCAAGTCTGTGGGACAGACTATTCAGTAAATTGTGAAATATTTGGGAGTATAAGTAATATCTCTGGAAGTATCCACACAGTGGTAAAAGTAGATGTCTGTAAGGGAACGGGTTAAAGGATAGCTGGGAAATTTAAGAAAGGGTGAATTTCCATTGATTACCCTTTTGTTATTTCCAGTAGTTTTGTCATGTGAATCTCTTGTCTCTGAAGTCTGAATGGCAGAGTTCAAAGTCCAAACTCTCAATTGTTAGCTATTAACCTTGCCAAATTCTTGATATTGTATTTCCTTACTGTGAATGGGTAAATAATGTAGTCAAGTGCCACTTGGCCCAGAATAAACTCTCACATGTAAATTACTAGGAAAACAAACCAAATGTTCACCACAGTTGGTGGACATTCAGATGAGAAATATGCAGCCATAAGAAGGAATGGAGCACTTCATCATGTATGCAAATGGATGAACCTTAAAACTGTCTGCTAACTGAAGGAAGCCAGATATAAAAAGTCACATATTGTATTCCATTTCTATGAAATGTCCAGAAAATGCAAATAGAGATTAGAAGTTGTTCCAGGTCAGAGAGGAAGGAATATGGAATGACTGCTAAATAGTAGAAGTGTTTCTCTTGGGGAAAAGGAAAGTGTTATGGATTAGATTCTGGTGATGGTTGCAAATCTTGGGAATGTACTAAATGCCACTGAAGTGCACACTTTCAAATGGTGAATTTAATGTTAGGTTGAATTATGTCTCAAGAACTAATTTTTAAAATGTAAATTACTAGTTTTCCCAGGCTATTACTATCCTTCCCATGTCCCTCCTCTCTCCTTTCCTTTCCTGTAGTCCTGCAGCTCTCACTCCCACTGCGTTTGGAGGTACTTCTGTACAGAGATGCCAGTGTCCTGTGCTTTGGGGGTGACTCACTGCACACAAACAAACTCCTCTCCCAAGGTTAGAATAGACTCTGGACCCTCATTTTTGTCTGTTCTTTGGTTGATGACAATAGTTAGGGAAGTCAGGACACTGGAGGATCAGCTCAGGAGGACCTGGTCCCTAAACATAGTATTTAGTTCCCTTAAGAGCTCTGATCTTGTCTGGCCATGATATTCAGATGCTGTGGTCTGAAAGCCAGTTTGGATGCCTATGTGCACTTGCAGCACTGAGGGCTTAAGTGACTCAGACCTCAAATCAAAGCCTTGATTCTGTGCATGTATAGTGATCTCAGCCCATTGTTGACTCACTAGTAAAGGGGAACAATGATGCAGGCCTTGTGTATTTGGAGGTTAATTGAAGGAGCACATTTTGCTGACCCACTGAATGAGTGTTGAGAGAATTGTGATTTGTATTCCAGGCCATGTTCTGGGTGGGCCTCAAGTTGCTGCAGTTCACTTGGCAAAGCCCCAAGTTATCAAGACTGAGCCCTTACCACTCCTGTGGTGTTCTTCCATATTTAGTATTCACCAGTCCCAGCTTTAATCATAGGCAACCCTGACCTGTTTGAATTTTGTCCTGACTCTTACCTTCTAAAATGCTAATCTGATGGAACATGAGGCATGAGCCTCTTATCCATGAAAGATTTCTCTTTTATATGTCTTCTGGTCACCTAGACCCATTTTCTGTCATTTCAACTTTCTCCAAATTTAATTCTTTTAACACCAACTTCAGACTTTGTCATTTTACTCATTCTTGATTCTTCTAATAAGCCCCTAAACATTCTCCCCTCTTTTGACCTTTCTACTCCTGGACCATCTTCCTTCCTCTTTCCTCATTTCTTATCTTTTCCCTCTCCATTTTTCCCATCCGACTTCTTCCTTCTTTCTAATGTAAACTCTGATCCCACCTCTACCAAAAAAACCACAGGGAACAGCATGGCAACACTCAAAAAGCTTCTTTATTGTCCATCCATTAAATCTATTACCTTTGTTTAATTTTATTAAGATTTAAAATACATCAGAATAGAGAAATTTTTATCTACATAATTTTTGTATATTTATATATCTGTACCTACAAATTGTGTGTGTGTGTGTGTGTGTGTGTGTGTGTGAAAATCTCTTGGTGCCTAAAGTGGTACCAGCAACCATAGCAGCTCTTACATTATATAGCTATAGTGTCAAGAAGTCCCCATTTCTTTTTTCCTCTCAGTGAAAAACTACAGTTTTCCCAAAGAAGTGCATTTGGCAGCATGCTCACGCTCTTGCTGAGCCGTCCTTTCCATGGCCTCATATTCTGGCTGCTGCCCTTTTGTGATGGGGCTTGACAGTACTGGCTCAGGAACATTGGGCTTGCTCCATGGAATTCGTTAAAAACTGAAATCTTGGGGTAGAAATTGGATTTGAGGTTTAGATGGTGGCTGGAACTTGGACACAGCAGTGGAAATAAGATCCCTCTGGAAAGAAGTGCAAGATGAAGTTTTGTAGGGTGCAGGCCTAGCAGCAGCAGAATGAGACACAGAAGGCTGAGTAGCCTTGGTCAATCCTAGTAGGGCTGCATCAGTTGCAATTGGCTGAGCTGGTTTGGCAGGACTCATGAAAGATTTGTTGGCACTGGCTGCTTGAGGTGCATTGACTGCTGTAGGATGAGCTGCGTTATAATGAGGCCAGACAGGATAGGATGCAGTTAGCCTATGTGAGGCAAGAGACTGTGGCCTCTGAGGAACAGGTCAAGGTTGAGGCTTGTCCCCAGTTGGAAAAAGTAGAGGTATCAACTTGACCTTCACTGGTGGGGGCAGCTCATACTGGGATGGAGATAGACATTCATTTCCAGCACTGCTATCTTGTGTCTGGGCTTTGTCTTGAGTTTTCTTATGGCCTTTGCCCTCCTTTGGGGTATCCAGCCATGATTTGATAGCTGGAGAAAACTGGGAGCCTTTAGGGCTGCTTGAGTTTCCCAGGGCCTGAAGGAAGATGGTCCAATTTTCTTATCATTCTTCGTCCCCAGTACATGAAAAACCATGCCTGTGAAGGTTTGAGGTTTTTTGAAGTTCTCCTTGCTAAACTGAGTTTGGTTGCTCTTACACTTTACTTTAGGAATGGTTGTCTTCTCTGCCTTCACTTGTTCCCTGTCTGTTTCTCTCTTCAACTTTGTTGGAGATGCTTTCTCTGGGCTTTTTGATCTTTTCCTCCTTCTGGACTTTAGTTTTGCTGGCCCTGCTGGATGCAGCTTTTGAGGCTGTGCTGTTTGAGTGCTTTTGTTCCCGGTTTGGAGCTGGAATAATGGCCAAAGTATTGGCAGAGCTTTTCACTGAAATATCTCCAAGCTCAAGTGGTGGGTTACTCTCATGTTTCTGAGCATTCATGCTACTGCAGGACTTGAGGAATTCTGGAGTTGGTTGGAGATAAAATGTCTGGCTTGGAGGTTGCCATAGTAGTGAAGTCTATTCCCATGGAAGTTTCCATTACTGACAAGAAATCAAGGAAGAAGTCAGTCCCTGGTAAGTGAGGTGCTTTCCCCTAACACCAACACAGCAACCAGGCCTTCTTTGTGGCCAAGTCATTTTTCTTAGTTCTTCATAAGGACCATGGACAGGCTCCTATGCTAGGACGTATGTGGTGACTGCTGGTGGTGTTACTGCTGATCCTTTGAAGTCATTCTTTCTTGGTTTTCTTTATATTTCATAGTATTGTTGCAAATCAAAAAAAAAGCAAAGTGATTTCAAAAAGATGGAATGTGGTTTAGTATAGAACACTGGCCCACTATTCTCTTAACTCTGGATTCAATCACAAGCACCACAAAAAATGAAAAAATGTTCTGTAAAGTCTAGCATTCTCATAGAGGGTGCTGTTCAATTCTCTCTATCCTCTTTTTGAGTATAAGAATATGTCAAACCATGGGCTAGCAATGAAAGTGGAGTTCTTCCTCATGAAATACATGAACAAGGACATATTCTGTGCCCACTCATTTTGGACACGATATCTGAACACAAGGAAATTAAAGAAAGTTAAACTGTTATTACCTTAAAAGTCTTGAAGTTTTTTTCCAAAGAGATCAAAGCAATAAATCAGGGAAGGGAATTGATGGCAGTGAGGGGAGGGCTCTTTTGCCAGGGAAGTTAAAATTGAGGTTTCATTCAATGTGCTTCTAGGGGTTTCTAAAAAAGCAATATGAATGGCCCTTACAGTGTTCAGCATTTTCACTGAAATGTATTTATTATTGTGTTTGTTTGTTTAATTATTTATTTTCTACAGTGATGGAGCTTGAATTCAGGGCCCCACACTTGCTAGGCAGGCACTGTATCACTTGAGCGATGGCCCTAGCCCTCCACCTTAAATTGAATCTGAAATTGGAGAGCCCTGAGAAAGAGTAGTGGTTGAAATCTCAGAACTCCGAACTCTACCTATCTGTGGCCTCACCACTGCTCAGCTGCAGATTTTACTCTCATTTTTCATGCTAATCTTATTCCTTTCCCTTTTTTTCTATTTGTACTCACCTTGAAAGCTCATTTCTGTGATGGGTTGGGCAGCCACTGACTAGTAGGTTCCAGAGGTAGAAACTGGTGTTTGTGCATTCATAGGCTGAATCTCCTGTAGCACCATCACCATTTCTGGTTGAGGGGCAGAGGCCCTACTCTCTGTGTAGGTATCATTGTCATAGAGTTGTAGGCAGGGGCCAAGTTCCCCAAGAAACAAAGACCCTGATGTGTTCTGATTATAGTAATAGACATGGCTTTCTTCCTGGTAGGGATGTGACAGGTGATGTCTTTGATTTGGAATCTGAGAAGGGGTACCTTGAACAAAGTTGGCAGATAATGATGGATACAGAGGAACCACCATCTTGGCTTTGGGAGTTTTGTCATATTGGGTTGTCACAGTCATGGAAGAAATTGCTGTGTTCTGGTCAATGAGCATCACAGTGACATCCCCAAATGAGGATGACTTCTTTTCTGTGCTTCCTGTGATATTCCAGTCAAAACCACCTGGATAAAAGGCAACTGAAGTACAGATCTGGTTCTTACCAGTAACCACAGACAACATGGTTGTGCTAGAATGTTGGTAAAGGTAGGCACTACTCATAAGTGGCTCTAAAGAGGTGTCAGAAGCTGATGGCAGTAGCCATGCTGAAGTGATGGCTGGATTGGAGACTCTGGAGAAGTTGCATATGCTTTCTGTTGGGGAAAAGGCATTACTCACCACAGGAAGAGAGGGCTGCAGAGAATTTGCAGTTCCAAGTAAAGATGGATTTTTGGAAATTTTCTGTTGGGAGAAAGAGGGTGGTAAAAGTTGGTGAGTTTGACAAACTCTCACTTTCTTTGAGAAGCAGTATTATTTCCAGGTTGCTATAATCATGAAGCCTCTTATCCCAATACTCACTGAGATACCAAAAATCAAACAGTTTAGGATGGATGTTACTGCTGAAGCAATTTGGTACTATCCTTATGAACTGCCTTTTTTCTAACCTGAGCACAGAAGACCCAAAGTGTTCTGGTTCCTACATTGTTCCCTTGGCTAGAAACATCTCTCTTTCCTGTGAACCTGATCTAATTGGAACTCATAACTATGTCCTAGAATTGAAGCATTTTAGAACTAGTTATCCTTAGAGAACTCAAATGGTACAGTTTTATGAGTGAAGTCAATGAGGGTAAAAGACTTCAGATTTATGTGTTCAGGTTCTCAGATTAAGATCTCCATGGTGCTATGTAACTGCTGTTCATGCCTATAATCCTAGCTACTCTGGAGGCAGAGATCAAGAGGACTGTAGTTCCAAACCAGCCTGGGACAATAGTTTGCAAGACCCTAACTTGAAAACATCCAACACCAAAAGGCCTGACAGTGTAGCTCATGTGGTAGAGTATCTGCTTCAGCTCTGTGAGGTACTGATTTCAAACTGCAATACAGCCAAAAAAACTAATTGGTATCTATACCAAGCTATAGAACCTGACTCCCTTGACAGGACTCTGTGCTCTGAGCAAAGACCAGAAACTAGAAATAGAACTTTCAGTATATGTTTAGTATAGTTTTTTTTTTTATTCTTCATAAGAACCAGTACTACTAGCTGGACACAGTGACTCATGGCTCTAATCCTAGCTTCTTGGAAGACGGAAATCAGGAGCATCTTGGGTTGATGCCAGCCTAGGCAAAAAAAGTTCACCAGACCCCATCTGAAATAATATGCCAGCTACAATAGGAAGCATAAAATAAGAGGGTCACCAAAGGAATGCAACACAGGTTACTCCAGAGGCACCTGCACACCCATGTTTATTGCAGTGCTATTCACAATAGCCAAGTTATGGAAACAACCAAGATGCCCCACTATTGATGAATGGATCAAGAAAATTTGGTACTTGTACACAATGGAATTTTACTCAGCCATGAAGAAGAATGAAATCTTATCATTTTCAGGTAAATAGATGGAACTGGAGAACATCATTCTGAGCAAGGTCAGCCAGGCTTAGAAGACCAAAAATCATATGTTCTCCCTCATATGTGGACTTTAGATCTAGGGAAAATACAGCAATGTGGTTGGACTTGGATCACATGACAAGGGGAGAGCACATATGGGAGATACAGGAATAGGTAGAAAAACCAAAACATGGAAGTGTTGATGTCCCCACTCCAGAGGAACTAATACAGAAACCTTGAAGTGACAGAGGTTATCATGAGAAGGGGATCAGTAACTAGTGTAAAGATCAGTTAGAGATGAATCAACATGGGTCATAACACATGTGTACACAAAAGCAATGCTAGGAATATTTCTATATAACTATCCTTAACTCAACTAGCAAAAATGCTCTGTCTTCCTTATTATGCTTGTGTCTTTTCTTCAACAAAATTAGTGATAAGGGCAGAGCAAGACCTGCCCTGCACTGAGTGGGGTAGGGAGGGAAAGGGCAGGGGAGGGGGACAAGGGGGAGAAATGACCCAAACAATGTATGCACATGTGAATAAATGAATAATTTTTAAAAAGTTATTAGGTCTTGGGGGACTGTTTGGGAAAGGGAACCAAAAAGGGAGAAGGGAGAAAGAGTGTGATACATGATCATTTATATGTATGAAAATAAAATAATGAAACCCACAAAGAATTGTTAAGAAGGTGGGGGTTAAGAAAGAGCAATAAAGATATGGTGAATTTAATCAAAGTATATTTTGTCCTTCTGTGTAAATATCACAATGAAACGCCTTTGTACAATTATTTTATGCTAATAAAATTTTTTAAATCTCAAGATAAAAAATAAGAGGGTCATAGTCTAGGTCAGCCCTTGCAAAAAGTGAGACCATAGTCAAAAATAACTAGAGCAAAAAGGGCTCGAGGAGTGATTCAAGTGGGAGCAACCTGCCTAGTAAGTAGGAAGCCCTGAGTTCAATCTCATGTACTACCAAGAAAAAAAGAGTGGAAAGAGGGAAGGAAGGAAGGAAAAAAGGGAGACAGGGAGAGAGGGAGGGAAGGAAGGAAAGGAAGGAAGGAAACAGTATCCTATTACCATTTTTATTTTCACTATCTTTTGTTTGCCCAGTTAAGATGTCATCTCATAGAGTTCACTTATAACACAGGCCAGGTCATCAGTTTAAAAGGTCATTATTTACCCTCTTCAAGCCTGAATTCTGATCCTAAGTCAAAATGACTACCTGAGAGTTAGTTTCTCAAAAACTGCTTTTTGGGAAAAAAGTTATTTAAACTTTCGAGCTCAGGTTACTCATCTGTAACATGGTTTATAATAATAATAGTGAAACTTACCCATTAATCAAAGTTACGCTAATGCGTGATTTATATGGGGAAATACATAGCAAGTTCTATAAAGAGAGAAAGTACAAACAACTAATGATAACATATAGATATTAATGAAAATTTGGTATGTAGCAAGCATCAAAGCATAGTAAATATAGAAGTGAATGAGGTGTCTTATCATACATGTAATATTATGAAAATAAATGTTATCTACTTTATTTTAGTGACACTATTAACTAAAAAACCAGCTACAATAGAAGATGATTTGGGGTTAAATAAATTTGGGACAGAGTTTCACTACATTGCTCAGGCTGGCCTTGCACTTGCAATCCTCCCTTCTCAGCTTCCAAGTGGCTTTGATTATAGCAGCCACCACCCAACCTGACTGGACTTTGAATGTACTTCTAACAAGTACAAACAGACAAAGAAAATATAAATTCAATTGTGTAGCAAACAGAAAAAATGCAGTAAATGTGAACATTTAGTAGCCATATTTTATGTAGACCAACATTTGAATAAAAACTGATATGTACTGGGTGCATGTGTAATCCAAGCACTTAGGAATGAAGAGCCAGAAGAATTGCTTGAGATCATGTGTCGGAGGTCAGCTTGACCATCCACCCACCAACAAGCATGACAAAACAAAACTAAACAACTAAAATTAAAATGGTACAAAAAGTGGAGAGCAAAGCAATACATATAAAGGAATCCCACTATGGTACTTATTCATACTTCTCTGAATATTACAAACCAACTATTAGATATTAATCCTACTAGATATTTCAATTAATGTAGCCACATAAAAAGCAAACAAAAACAGCTAAAAAGAATTGTGAAAGTTTTTTTATATTTATCCTAAAACTTAGCTTATAATCATCTTCAAAATTCAGGAACGTCACCCGTCAAGCCTGAAAAACATTACCACTGGAATACTGTTGCGGGAATCTCGAACTGAGTTACAGGACACTGAGGCAGTTTAGCAGGAAGCAAGATTTTATTGTGATGACAGAGACCCAGTGGACTCATGTCTAAAGGCTGAGCCCCGAGAACAAAGAAGTCTCACCTTATATACAAAAGCAAAAAGCAAAGCTCAACCCACTTGTGGCTGCATGTGACTTCATTGACTATCTCATTTTCCCAGTGCTATGTGACCTTCATGTTTCAATTCTTTAAGTTTTATCTTTCTGCTCTGTCATACCTTCCCCCCTGTGTTGTCAGAACACAGCCTGTTTTCTTTTCTGGCTCTCTTCCCTGCTACATCATGCCCCCTGATTTGACTAGGGTCAAAGAACATCATCCTGATTTAGAGGTTTGTATTTTCATAGCATCTTTACATGTTTGCCTGGTTGGTTTTTTTTTTCCTATAGTGGCCTCCATAATGGTCCTGAAAGATAGCAATACCAGGGGAACCAGACAGGGTAATATTAAGCATGTGCCCAGGATAAGGCCTATTGCTCCCATCAGGGTTTTGAAACCATCTAAGACACAGAACCATCTTCCACACAGGTCCCTGGGAGTTCATCTTCCCCAAGTCTGGATGAGGACATGGGCAAGCTTTTTCATTTTATCTGTGATTTTTTATAACCTTTTTTTAAAATAAAGTTAAATTTTTCATAAATTCCTCCCTCAGAAGCAAGCAAATAATCTAAAGTCAAACGGTTTTGATAGATGGCATTGTGCATCTTCGTGCTTTGTTTTATCAGCAAATTGAGAACTCTTGTAGTTTCATTAGTTATAATTTCAACAACAGCCTGCAGCCTGATGATGTGGTTGAGCATATATAGGGGTGTGATACATACACACACACACACATATATATATATATATATCCATCTTTGGCCCAGTGGCAGGACCATAGTACTGGATGATTCGCTCAGGAGGCCATTCATCATCTTTTTATTTGCCAATTTGTAAGGCACACTGTTTTGTCTATTTAATATTTCTTCATATATGGGGACTCCCAGTTTTTTACCTTGTCTGAAGGGAAGCAGGAAAAACGGTGGTCTGACTGAGCCTAGCATGTAAAACCCAAACCACCTGCTGTATAAACTTGCTTCCACAAATCCAGTACAGCTCTCTGGGTGCCTGCCAATCTATATTTGTGGTAAGATTGTCCCAAGCTTTCCTGAAATTAGAGAAGCTGGCCAGAGGGTGGGGCTGGGCTCTCTATGGTTAGGAGCTCCCCATCATTGGGTCTCTTGAGCAGTGTAAGTCCTGATGATGGAAGTCTTTAGGAGCCAGACATCTTTCCTGTGTTTTGGGAAAGCAGTTTCATTAAAATGTTCCTGTGGGCCCAGCTCCTTTGCTTCCCAAGGCCAATGGTCTCCCATGTTGGTCCCCCCACAAACAGTATGAAGTGACATTCAGTGTCTGGGCTATAGACTCAGCCAGTAAGAGGAACAAGTTTTTGGCCTTGGTAGAGATAGAAAATTCACTCATCTCCTCATAAAAGGAGTGAAAACCTTGGTATGAGGAACTCTCATGGGTATCAGTAACTAATTTGAGGTGCATCAGAGTCGAGGGTGAAGGCCCTTTTCATCTATCCTTATGCCAATAATATGTCACTGTGTCCAATCAGATGGCTTAAGTACAGTGAAATTTACAGGATTACAGGTACCAGGAGTGCAGTTTGGGGCAGCTGTCCCTTGTGAAGGAGGGCTGCATGTTTTGTCCTTTCCCATGCAGCCCATGAAACACAACTCCAATAAGGGCAATGATAAGAACCTATAGCATCACATAGCCAAGAGTTGTCTCCCCTGTACATATGCTTATCATTGGATGTATAGGCGCTCTCCCAAGCTAGGGCCCCATAGCCACAGCCTATCCCTCCATATCTACCTTGGTCTATGGGTGCACATGCTCCAAAGAGCATTGACACTGATTTATCAGGGTTAAACACCTGGGTGCAGTTGATGAGATTCCCAGGGTCACAGATGCTCTGGATCTCTAACCATTGCTCCAGGGAACAGTGAGTGTGGTTGAAGCAGGTATGCTGATTACCATGGGAGCACACTAGATAGGTGGTATGGTTGTGAGTGCATGGCCCAGTGACAGAACCCACACAAGAATAGTAAATATGGAAAAGCAAAGTCCTAGTGACAACATTTCTTGCCTGAGTAGTATGCATACATAGGTCACAAGATGAGGGATCTGGGACCATGAAGGGAGACCATATCAGTAACAACAAACAGTAATTATGCATTCTGCCCAAAAGAGGTAGAAGAGAGCAAATAAAAGCCTTTCACCATGAATCCAATCAGCAGGGGCAGTTTCTGCCAAGCCTATGGTGAAGACTAGGGTGAGAACTATAGCAACAGATACAGACAAGGGGTGACAGTACATTACACTGAAATAACTAGTGTGCAAAACAGTCCGTTTGTCCCATTGGGGAGTTGACACCTCAAGCTTCAGCCATGCGTAGATTAGTCAGCTTCCTGGGATGACTAGAGCAGGGCAGTCATCCTGCCCTTCTTGGTCCCCCGTTGTTTCCTGGGAAGCAGAGTCCTGCTGACCGAGGGCACTCAGGTTCCAGAGGGTGATCTTACATTGTGAAGCCAGATTAGGGATGTACTCCCACTTGAGAGAAGCTGGTTTGACTTGACTGTGGTGGATCCAAGGAGCAGTCTCTGCTACTTTAACTGTAGTGAGGATAGACAAGACAACAACAAAAGGGCCCCTCTAATGGGGTTTTAATGGCTGGACATTTTATTCTTTTACCCAGACAGTATCTTTTTTTTTAACTGAGTAGAATTACCTTGGCAACAATATACTGTCAGAATATATGTCCAAGAAAACTTGTTGTTTAAAAAAGTTAAAACCACCACCTTTAAGTATCAAAGGACATGTTTAGAGCCAGTAAAAATAGTCATTTTCTCTCTAAGTAGAAGACCCTGTCTAAAAATATGAGTTTGTATCTGGAAGGGCTTTAATGCCAGATGGCCACATGTGTATAAGAACTACTTCCTCAATCTTCTTGGCCTTGGTTATTTTTGAGAGGTCTGGCATCAGTGATGCCATTGGAATTTTGATGAAATTCCCTCCTTGTCTCCAAACTGCTTGTCTCTGAGCAGTCTCTTTTGAAGATTTGTCTCCCATCCAAGTACAAATCAGGCCCACTGCTTAGCTTCTGAGACCAGATGAGATTGGGCATGTTTAGGGTGGTATGGCTATAGACTGAAGATCTTTCTTGATTGGTCATTTTCTTTCTTCATCGTGAGGATTTGTTCTTTCCTGGATTTTGTTTGTTTGGTTTTAGTCCCATGTTGGAGACGGGTAGGGAATAATGAGCAGATCAAGTAGGAGTTAGTGCCAACTAGACCTTTTGGTCAAGTTAAAGCAACAAAGAGGCTTAGAAGGAGTGGCCTTTATGCAATGGGCATTTAGACAAGGACAATATAAAACAAATCCAACAAAAGCAGATGTCTAAACACCTAACCTGGTTGACACATAAGCACATATTAGAGTCATTTTTATGGACTTGATTGTAAATGCCCCAGAAGGATCAGAACTGTAATGACAAAAACTTAAAAGAACCAAGTTTAAAATTTTGATGGACAATTTAGCAACTAACAGAACAGTATATCAGTACCATTAACTTTTTGTTACTGTGTTTATCTAAATTTTGTATTTTAGAAGGCTTGATATACTTGAAAAACATAAATATATTTAGTATAAGGAGCCAACAATAGCATCATAGCTCTATAGAGGTTATGCATACATATTAGTTTAGCTGTTCTTAAAATAAGACCTTAGATTTTTATCAGTTGTAGGAGGGAAGAACAGTTTTAGTAAACCCAAATAGCCCAGTCACTGACACACATAGGGTATCGACTGTATTAGAATCACCCAAGACAACAGTTGTTTAACCATGAGGTTATCTAGAAAATTTTTAAATAAGCTGTTAGAAAATAAGAGGCATGGAAGAGGCAGAGAGATGGCTCAAACACCAGTACAGGGTTTATTGTTTAGGCAGGAGCCCTGTGGAGTGGGACCTCAGAAAGAGAACTAGAGCCCATTGCCATACACAGGCTTGGGCTAGATATAAGGGGCTAGTGGAAAAGCACCAGGAAGGCCACTAAGGAATATTGTTGCTGGGCAACCAAGAAAGATAAATTGTAGTTAGGTCATGGTCTGCCTGTTGTACTTAGGTAATGGTCTGCCCAACTGTCCTTGGCATCCATCCAGGGAGATAAAGGTTAACAATTGTCTCTTTGTTAGTCTTTGGGGTTGAGTGGGGAGTTTCTAGTAAGCCATCTGCAAGGGGGGAGGGTGCTTGGTCCTAATATGGCTATCCTCACTGTTAACCCCAACATAAACCAACTTTTTAATGAACATGACTCAGTTACCTTAGTAGTTAAAATCCTGACAAAAATCATCAGAGAACACAGGTAAGTATTTATGGGAACTAAGTGTGGAGTTAGGAAACCTAATGGCCAAGAGTCATGGCTCAGATGTTGATAAGGGATCATATTCCAAATTGTTGACATTAACAAATGGGTCATGACATACAGCAGGATCCCACCAGCCTGTAGTGAGTGGAGGCCCCCTAAAATTACAGGCCCAGTCTGGCCATCCCAGGTGAAAAATTCCCTCTTCCTGACATGTGGACGGATTAGGACTAACATCTCCACTCTGTTGACTCCAATAAAAACTGGAGGTCTTGACTTTCAGTGTAGTGCTCCTTTTTAAGTTTTTATTTTTTATCCTATCTGGGGGATGTATTTTGGGTTTTTTTTTTAACTTTGCTTTACATAAGTAAACTTGTCTCAACCCTCATATCAGTGCAGCTGTACTCCCTGTGCTTAGCTGTCTCTTGCCTCTCTGTGTTTTAATACAGTTTTTAAATTCTTGTTGTCTTGACAAATTTGTGGATTACCCTGTACCACCAAAAACTTTTGACAGTTATTTTGACGAAATAAAAACCATTTTTAAGACAGTTTTTGTAAATGTTATTAAGAACAATACAATAATTTTAAGATAGCCTTGTCATTATGAGCTTAAAGAATTAAGTTTTAGTTTAACATTAGTACATTAAATTTTGACCTTACAAAACCTTTAATGTAACTGGATTTTAGTCAACTCGATCACTTACATAAGCATTTATAAGCTCCATGCTTTTATGACAATTTACTCTGTACTTTTATGACAACTTATTTTGTATCCCCTGGGGGAGCTTGTCTTTATCTTTTTTTAAAAAGTATTTTTCTCCTGTTATTTTAAAAACCATATATTTAATATCATGTATACACACACACACGGTACTTGTTGAAATTAACTTATAAAACCTTTTAACTTAGAACCTTATATTTGTATGGAAAAACACAGAAAGAAAGCCACCTTAAAGTTATTTTTTGTATAAAAAAAATTTATAGAAAGACCATTTGTTAATAGACCCATGTATTATAAGGGAGAATTACATCCCAGATTTTATTTACGACAGAATGAAACAGGCTAAGGTCACTTTTAACTACCCAAATTTTAAGATTTCTGTTGCGGACCTGTGGCCTCCTTTTTTTTTTTTTCTCCTCTGGTCTGAGCCAGAGTGTTAACCCCTGAATGCCTGCATCTTAGTGAGACCTGACTGAAATAAGTTTGAAAACCTGTTCTTTTTTTTTTTAAAGTAGCGGTAGAGCAGAGTAATAATTTTTTAGATTTACTTTATAATAAGAACCATACTCAAGAGGTTTACATATTTAAATGTAAAAAGCTTAAGCAGTTTGTAACAGAGATCTTTAAAATGAACACCCTGGTTTTTTGTTACCTTGAATATCACATTAACCTTATAACAGCAGTTTAAGAACCATTCTGAAGATGCTTACATACACACACATATAAAAGTTTTATAAATTAAGTATGCCAGGAAAAAACGTCAACTTAAGTGCACATAAGATGAGCTGGAATTCCAGGAGCAAATTAAATTTTGTCCAGTGCTTTAGACAAATTCACATACATGTACACACACACACACACACTTAAAGTGCACTCTCAAAAAAAAAGAAAAAATATTTAAATTATACCCAGAGGGCTATCCGGTGGAATGGTGGGTGATGTATCTGTTCTTTTGGGAGTCTCCCTTTGGAACTGAATTTTTTGTTATCCATCCCTTAACCTCAGTTGTGACTATTTCCTGGGGAAAGCTCAAACCCCTGTTAACTCTCAGAGGTGTCTTACACACTTTTGCCCTGGTCCCTTAACCTGAGAGACCTGGTTTCACCTCAAACAGGGTTATTAGGGGATCTCTAGGAAGTGATCAGTCTCCCCTTCTGCCTCCTGAGGCAGTCCTGAATTTGAACCAGGGTTCTTACCAGTTTAATGAGCTGTGATCCCTCCCCTAGCTGATTCCTGCATCTCACCGAGTTCCATTGTGCATCCAAGGCCCTCACCCTGACTCACCTGGAGGATGAGTCCCTTTTCTGGATCAAGCTGTCCATTGGCGCCTAGTGGATCTCCTCCCAGCTGTCCAGGAGATGCACCCTGGTGACAAGGGAGGTGATAACTCATCCTCTCCACAATCCCAGATGAGCCCCCAATTAATGTTGCAGGAATCTCAAGCTGAGTTACAGGACACTGAGACAGTTTTGCAGGAAGCAGCATTTTATTGTGCTGACACAGATCCAGTGGACTCGTGTCCAAAGGCTGAGCCCCAAGAATAAAGAGGTCTCATCTTATATACCCTTGCAAGCAGGTTACAGAAACAAAAAGCAAAACTCAACCCACATATGACTTCATTGTCTATTTCATTTTCCCAGTGCTATGTGACCTTCATGTTTCAATTCTTTAAGTTTTATCTCTCTGCTTTGCCATTCCTTCCCGTCTTGTCAGAACACAGCTTGTCTGTTTCTTTTCTGGCCCTCCTCCCTGCTACAACACAAGTAAAACAACAACAAAAAACAACCCCATCTTTTTGTGGTTCTGAAAACTGACCTAAGGGCTCTGCATGTGCTAATCATGCACTCTGTCCTTGAGTTACGCCTGCAGCCTGAAACAATTCTTTTGAATGTTAAAAACCCAGCAGACATAAGATTGTTTTAAATAAGCTTGAAGCCAGGTGCAGGTGGCTCACACCTGTAATCCTAGCTACTCAGGAGGCAGAGATCAGGCGGATCACAGTTCAAATCCTGCCCCGGAAGAAGTTCTTAAGACTCTATCTTGAGAAAACCCATTACAAAAAAGGGTTGGAAAAGTGGCTCAAGGTGCAGGCCCTGAGTTCAAACTCTAGTACCAGCAAAAGAAAAAAAAAATAGATAAGCTTGGAATAAGAGATGTCAGGGCTGACTTTCATTCTTAGAACGGTCTTTCTTTTTATTCTTGTATCTAAATACTTGTGACTATTAAGAACTTTTTATTGGGCTGGAGGCCTGGCATAAGTGGCAGAGCACCTGCTTAGCAAAGAGTAGGCCTTGATTTCAAACTCCAATACTGCAAAAAAAAAAAAGGAAGGAAAGAGGAAGAAAATCATTGTAAAGGAAAAAACGGTTTTACTTGAAACTTCTGATATGTGTTAGGAGGCATCAATTTTTCAATCCAGGTAGTTTAAAAATCAGAATGACATAGAACACTGAAAATGCTGTTTCACCAGCCTTCTTTATGTCCCCTTTTCTTAGCATGCTTACAGGCAGAAATCATTTCTAAAATATTCACTTCCAAATCTGTCATGTGCCAACTGGGTCCACAGTCAATAGAATGAAATCCAAACAAAGACTGCTTTTCTTAGTGATACCCCGTCTATCCTTAATTACCTTCCTAGCCTGTTATACAAACATTTGCTGAAACCAGTTTATTTTGCCTTGTTCTGAGTAGAAGTTACTCACATGCTTTTTGTGTGTTAATTAAAAAAATCGAGTGTACCGGGTTCCAGCTGCTGCTTTTCTTCGTTTCCTTAGACGCCACCACTGCCACTACCATGCTCTCCGTCCGCGTCCCGCTCGCCACCATCGCGGACCAGCAGCAGCTGCAGCTCTGGCCACTGAGCCACTGAAGGGACTCAGCCTGGCGGACAAGGAGAACACGCCTCCGGCCCTCAGCGGGACCCGTGTCCTGGCCAGCAAGACCGCGAGGAGGATCTTCCAAGAGCCCAGCCGAAACCTGACATACCTGCCCCCGGCGTGGAGGATGAACCACTCCTGAGAGAAAAGCCCCGTCGCTTTGTCATCTTTCCTATCGAGGATCACGATATCTGGCAGATGTATAAGAAGGCCGAGGCTTCCCTCTGGACAGCTGAGGAGGTGGATCTTTCCAAGGACATCCAGCCCCGGGAGGTGCTGAAGCCGGAGGAGAGATACTTCATAGCTCATCCGTTCTCGCTTTCTTTGCAGCCAGTGATGGCCTAGTGAATGAAAATTGGGTGGAGCGATTTAGCCAAGAAGTGCAAATTACAGAAGTCCGCTGTTTCTGTGGCTTCCAAATTGCCATGGAAAACATACATTCTGAAATGTACAGTCTCCTTATTGACACTTACATTAAAGATCCCAAAGAAAGGGAATTTCTCTTCAATGCCATTGAGACAATGCCTTGTGTGAAGAAGAAGGCAGATTGGGCCTTGCGTTGGATTGGGGGCAAAGGGCCACCTATGGAGAACGTGTTGTAGCCTTTGCCGCCCTGGAAGGACTCTTCTTTTCCGGTTCTTTTGCGTCAATATTCTGGCTCAAGAAACGAAGACTGATGCCAGGGCTTACGTTTTCCAATGAGCTTATTATCAGAGATGAGGGTTTACACTGTGACTTTGCCTGCCTGATGTTCAGACACCTGCTCCATAAACGTCGGAGCAGAGAGTAAAAGAAGTAATTATCAATGCTGTTAGGATGGAACAGGAGCTCCTCACGGAGGCCTTGCCAGTGAAGTTTATTGACATGAACTGCACTTTAATGAAGCAGTACATTGAGTTTGTGGCAGACAGGCTTATGCTGGAGCTGGGTTTTAGCAAGGTTTTCAGAGTAGAGAATCCATTTGACTTCATGGAGAACATTTCTCTGGAAGGGAAGACTAACTTCTTTAAGAGAGTAGGTGAGTGTCAGCGGATGGGAGTGATGTGGAGTCCTACAGAGAATTCTTTTACCTTGGATGCTGACTTCTAAGTGAACTGAACATACGCTCTTATTTTGCTGATTTTTTTCCCTCAACATTTACCCAAAAAAAAAGTCAGCCAAAGCAAATCAACCAGGTACAGCGTAAATTGTCATAAGGTTCATCGACAGCATCTATAAAACTGTGTAGCTACCTCAGAATTAATCCTGTCCATTACTGATGGTAGTGGTGTTACCTAGAAAGGAAAAGGATTTTTAAAACAGGCTACCTGGACTCTTATGGAGGATCTTGTCCTGTTGGCTTTTCCAAGCTGGCTGGCTGAATGTGTGACTTCATAGTCCTAGACATCAGCCTCACTGCTTCCAGGCAGACTTTAAAAGTTTACTTAACTAGTTTGTAAATAAAACTGGCACTTTGTACACAAACATTGTAGTCTTGAGGGAAAAGCCTTACTTATTTTGTTTTTATACCAAATACAAAGTGTTCTATTTACCACTAATGGTAGCCAATTCAAAATTTGCCAAGTGACTAAAAGTTAACTTGAGACCACGAAGCATATAATTTCTCAGCTTTGTTTTCTTTAATGAATTGAAATACTCTAATCAGCTTTCAAGTGCACCCTGTGGATACCTCGATAATAGTGTGTGAGTGCCAACAGAATGTAGGATGTGTCATGGCATCTCCTGCCCCAGCCAAGGTGTGCCATGCCTTTCAGGGCAAGGTGCTTCTAACTTTCAGTCGTTATGAATTAAGGCATGCTAGTGGCCCGTTCTTAATTTGTGTCAAGGGCACTATTATTGTTTCTCAAATCGTACACACTTGTACTTTGCCCAATTTCTAGTTGGTATGAAAGGTTATTTGAAAGGGCTTTGTAGGTGGGATCTCAGGTAGTATTACAAATTTTCAAATCATCGAACAAAACAGCTCACCTAACATCTTGCCTCTGTGAAGTGGTCAAGCCAGGACTGAAATTGGCTCTCCTGCAAGTTGTCTTTACTTTGGTTATTTTGCGAGTAGGTACTGTTCACTTGATCTATGCCACGTTTCTTAAATTAGAAAATAGTTTTTACTAGATATGTCCTTTTAGACTTTACTTATTTGTACTTTGAAAAAAAATCACTCACTCAGTATTATTTTGAAGCTTATAACTGATAAAGACATTGCTCCCTATGATTCCAATATTTGCCTAAATACGAATGTCACCTGCTGGATTCTTAAACATGAGTAGAAAACTAGCTGTATGAGCTATTCATGTGTGTTCCATTCAAATGGAAGCACAAACTAAAGTTAATAGAGCTAGCTTGAATCAATCTGCTTTTGTTTGGGAAGAGAAAACAAGGATGTCACATGGGAGATGATGCATGATTTGCATTGATCCTTAGGCCCATTTGTTAACTGATTGCATGCATGTTGGCTGTTTGACCACTGATCAGTTTTCATCATTTATTGTATAGTCTCAATTCCTGTAATATGGGACCCTTTTCTGCCTTTAAATTATTGTTACTTAAAGTTAATAAATCCAGGTTATATGATCCTTAAAAAAAATCATTGCTTCTCTTTAACATTCTGTCCCAAATGGTCTCTTGTTTCTTGAGAACACCTCCCTGCTCTCCATCTCTTTCATTCCTATGTACTCTCTTCCATCCTATTTATATTTTGTTCCCTCCCTCCAGGTCTGTCAGCCTATGCCTAATGTAAGCAATCCCAAACTTTCTTCCTCTAGAGTCTCTTGCATACTGATAACCCAGTCCTCTCCCTCTCCTCTGTCTCTTTTTACCTAAACAGAAAATTCCAAAACACATGAATATTACTTTTTGATCAGCACTAAGGTAGAAGTATTAGTAAAGGACACTGTTACAGATTAAACATATTGGTATATAATGCTAGGTTTTTCAAAATATCACCTAGGTTTTTCCTGTGTTTCTTTTGAAGCTGACACACTCTAGAAGTCTCTGATTTCAGTATACCCATGCCCTTTAACACTCAATATTAGAAGAAAAAAGGAACAGAACATGGGCAGTCCATTATCCTCATGTAGCAGGTGAGAAAAATCTTTTGTGAGGGAGTAAATAATCTATCCAATGTTATATACCTAGGAAGTGTTAAAGCCAAAACTGAGATTAGGTCTCCATAGTTCTAGTTCAATATCCTCCATTATTCTAAGCTGTTTTGACTCTACAATTGAATTTAGGGTCTTGTAGGAAATCTAAATTTCTCATTAGATTTAAACTATTTTTTAAAAAAATAAATGTTTCTTTCCTTACCTGACATGGTTAGAGAAGAGTTAACATTAATTGCAGATACAAGAGATGAGGAGATGTCTGGGTAGCTATATCTAAACAGTGCATGTGTCAAGAATGAAGGACACTGGTCACACTGGTCAGTGATCACTGGTCACTTACAATGATCCAAATTTGTTTACAGACAACTCCATAGAAACCCCCAAGATTCTACCAGGTGGCAGGAGTTTTGGTGGGAGAATGATGTCATAAAGTAGGCAGTTAAAGGTATGAAGTAGCCAATAGTGACATCAGATTCCCAACCAGACAAGGCAATTGGATGGAGAGAATAACAGAAGAGCTTTAACTGCACCTAAGTATCTGAGTTCTGAGAAGGTGAAACCTGAAAGACAGACATGATAGTCACTCTTTCCCCTGTTACTGAGATCATCTCAATGTGTTTTATAAATGTTCATCTGTAATGTTACTCATAATTTTATATTATATTTCACATTCTAATAGACATAACATAATTACATACTGCATGTAAATTTATATCCTCGGTGAGGAAGGAAAGAGACATTGAAGTTTAGCAATTATTGTACAGAAACTGTTTCAGTTCATCTCATTAGTGAACTTACTGGAGAAAGAAAGGATTAAGGAGCTCTTTTAGTAACTTGTTAGAAGAGAAGGGTGAAATTCATTGAGTCTTCCTTGTAGGAATGATGAGTTCCAAAGTTGTTCTCTTGTAGTTTCCTCTTTCTTGGCTTGGATGGGCTTGGGCCAGGTTGGACTTTTCTCTGCCTTCTCTCTTTTTTCTCCCTTGATTGCAGGAATCATTTCTTAGTCAAGCATTTATGTTTCTTTTTACCCTTATGGATGTTATTTCCTGTCAAATTCCAGAAGCAAGTGTCTTCTTTTCAGAACCTACATTCTTTGAAAAATGGACACCGCCCATTGGAAGCAAACACCAGAGAGGTGGAAGATCCAGTTGACTGCAAATGTTACTTCTTCTGGTCTATGATCAAAATTCTTTTACCCATAAGTCACTCCCCTGGCTCTTTAGGCCATACAGACATCCCTTGTCTGGCTCCTTCATCCATGAGAAACATTAAGGATTCTTTCTGTCTCCTTTAATAAATAACACCAGTGTGGCAGTTCCTGTGGCTTCCTCCTACTGCAAATAGCCACTATAGAATCTTGGGCCTCTTGCATTCTCTGTCTGCCTTACTTGGGTGCAAGGTCAGGAAAGGAGAGATGAATACTTAGAGAAAAAATAGGACATCAGTAGAGCAAAGGGAAAATATGAGTATAGGAAAATATGATATAGGAAAAGAGATTCATGTGGATTTTATATCTTATTGTGGCAGTTTCTTCCTCTTGGGTAGAAACTAGTATCAAAAACATTAGGCAACAAACTACATGGTTTCAACAAGTATCTGTGCTTCACAGGCCCATTTCTAATGGCCTAGAGGCTGAATCAATAGACTGGTTTTCTAGTTTGTTTCCTGGATTTTTAATGTTGTCAAATCTGTTTTACTTGATGTCTTCCATTTTGATGTGATCATCATGTTGATTAAGGATCAATATACATTCTTTTCCACTTAGCACTTCACTGCCTACCCTACCTATACAAAAGCACTGCTGGGACCCTTAAGACGAACCAGGACGACTGGCAAAGATAGTTACTTGGCTTACATTGGAAGAACTGGGGTTTGAACTCTTTTTTTAGCTCTCTGTTACTATAACATGTACCTGAGATAATCAGCATATTAAAAGAAAAGTTTTATTTTGGCTCATAGTTTGGCAGGTTTCAATCCATGCTGAGATGGCCCTGTTTCTTTTAAGATGGTGGCAAGGGAGCATATCATAGCAAGGAATGTGTGGTGGACAACTGCTCACCTTATGGCCTGAACAACAAAAGGATGAGAGATAGGGGACCAGAGGGGCTTAGACCCATTGTCTCCTTCAAGAGCTTGTGCCACAAGACTTCCTACTAGGCCTCATCTCTTGAAAGTTCCACCAACTACCAAAACATGGGTTTTTGGGGGATTCTAGACCCAAATAAGGAATGAGGTTAGATCATTTTTTATAGCAGTGACTTTTTACATATTAAAATATTGAGTTCCATATTTTCAATTCTATTTAGGCAAATGCTGTGTGTCCTGTTCTGCTCCCCAGATTGTATAACTATTTTTTATTCATAGTTCCATAGCTCCAGCCACTTAATTCTAGCTTACATCATCAGTCATCTTAACCTCTAATATTTTCTTTTGGTGGTATAGGGTTTGAACTCAGGGCCTCACGCCTGCTAAGCAGGCACTCTACCACTTGATCCATGCTCTCAACTCTTTTGCTTTAGTTATTTTTGAGATTGGGTCTTGCCTTTTGCCTAGTTTACCCTGGGCTCTGTTCCTCTTATTTATGCTTCCCTAGTAGCTTGGATGATGCCACCGCATCCACCTAATTGGTTGACCCACCATCTTTTTTTCCTAAGCTGGCCTCAAGCCACGATTCTTCCCATTTTCATCTCCTGAGTAGCTAGGATTACAGAGATGACCCACTGCACCCAGCAGCCCTCAGGTTTTTTTGTTTTGTTTTGCTTAGCTTTGCTTTGGTGTTAACAGTTATTGAACTCAGGGCCTTGTACTTGCTAGGTAGGCACTCACCAGTGAGCCACTCAACCAGCCAAAAACCTCAGGTTTTAGAGATGTTTATAGTTATAGGGTTTTGTCTTGTCCCAACAACCCACACTCTGCATTTTCTACCCATAAGGATAACCAGGACGTTGTCTTGTAACATACCCAAACCACCTATCCCTGGCCTTTCCTTTCTCTCCCCATGGTCTCTTTTTTGGGTTTATTAATGACTGGAAGCCCTGACATGCTACCTGATACTGGCATATTTGGTTAGTGTAAAGTAAGTAACAGTTTTCTACTCCAAATGTCCCTTGTTCCCGTATTTTCTCTTATGCTCGTTAAGCTTTCTTTTGCCTTGTTGGATCCACTTCCATACAGAAGCCTACTCTTTGCCAGTTCCCATACTGTCTGGAAACTCCATTCTTTTACAGTCTGGATTTTCTTGTGTTAACTCTGAGCTTGATCTCACTCTAAGTTTGTGTCTTTTTAGCAAATTTGAAGTATAAGACCAATTTAGTTTTTCTAGTTTCTGAAAGATTTGTGTTGCATTTTATATACTTCAGTCATGTTTATAATATATCATTTGTACTTTTGTGCCACTATATATGTATCAAATATTTTTCATAATTCCCAAAGGAGTATTTTGTAATTTAAAGGCAAGTTTGAATGTGCTTAATTGTAAGCCTGCAAACTATTAACCTATATTTAATTATGGGAAAAATTTCAGAATTGTTCAGTCTTGTGGATTTAACATTGATTAGAATATGACTCCCCCAAAATGTTACAGTTAGGTGTGTTTTTATGCATTCATTCATTCTTTTAACATCTTTGACTTTTCTAACTTCCAGTTTATACAGCTCTAAAACCTCTGTGAAGATTACTAACAGTGAGGCAGAGGCATGGTCAAGTGGTAGAGTGCCTGCCTAGTAAGTGTGAAGCCCTGAGTTCAAATCCCAATACCACTCCCCAAAAAGCTCCCCATCACTATCAGTGAATATAAGGTACTTTCAGAAAGTAGAAACTAAAAAGTAAAAAAAAATATGGAAAAAAATTGCTAGCATAATTACACAGTTTGGCACTCTATCCTTTGAGTCACTCTGCCAGCCCACTCTCATATTTTTCTAAAACACAAATGCATGCTGTCCACTCTAGCATGCTAGCTGGCATGTGATGGGGACCCAGTAGAATTCAGGATATGCATACGTAATGAAAGTAAATTCAAACAATATACAAAACGCCAACATCTGGAAATAGTGTGAAGAATACACAGGGGACTGGGGGCAGTGGGACTTGTTCCATGTCTTGTACAATTTTTACTTCTGAAGGTGGACACAGGAGCTCATAGACATGTGTTACCGGCCTCCGGCGAAAGAGGGCGCAGTAGCCACCAAGGTCCTGTTTACACACCAGGCCTCTCTGCAGCCGGCGGGCTGACGTCATCACGGCGGGCAGAGGCGCGTGCGCGCTAGTGGGGCGTAGGGACGCTGTGTGGCGAGCTTCCCGGGTGCTTGCAACCTGGTGTCTTGTTCTGCCGGGGAAGTTTCCGCACTGACAGCTCTGGTCCGCTTGGCATTGGGTGGGCGGCATCTTGGTGCCCATATGAACCAATGGCATCATGCCCGCAGTGGCTGGGGTCGGGGACGCGACTTTTGCGGACGTCCCCCGCCCAAGAGGAAGGGCGGAAACCACATCCCGGAGAGGTAATGTGCTTTGGCTCTTGGGCGTAGGCTCGTCTCTCGCTGTCCCTTCCTCATTGTCGCCTCCTGCTTAGGGACCTTGACTTGCTGCAACGCCCGCGGTAGTTGGAAGGGATGGTGGCTGAAGTTCCGTGATTCCTCTCCACCTTTTAAAGTTAGGCTCTGTGCGTGGCTCCCTGGGTAAAATAAGGAAAGGACTGCTTCCAGGCGGGACTACTCGTGTTGGGGACACTCCTTAATTAGCAAAAGGGACCCTCCGCGCAGTTCCTGAAGTTTTGTTATTTTGACACAGAAAACGGGAGTAATAAGATCTAAGTTGGAAAGAACCCCCAGTACTGGCCTGAGGGCTTCGATGGAAAGTTGATTTGCATTTTTTGCGGGAGTCGGAGAGGGCAAAGTGGGCTACGCACCAGGTGTCATTTGAGAGAACTTCCTGTCTGCGTTCAAATGGTTAGTTGTGAGACTGCTTATATGTGCAGTGAGCCCTTTAATTCCTTGAGACTTTTCCCTCCCCCATCTCATACTTCGTCAAACCCCTTCCTCATTTTACCTCCTGAATATTTTTGGAATCTGTTGACATCTGTCCTTCATCATCCTACTGCGGATCTTGCCTGACCTATTACAGTTCAGTCCTAGCAATGTCCATGTGTCTATTTATTTCCCATTCCATTCTTTTGTATTAGTAATTAGCTAAAGGTGGAGTGGAGTGGAAAGATAGCTTGTAGACATTTGTGTAAAACATTGTTTCAAGAGTAAAAACAAACTCCTTGTCATGTCCTATATCTGCGTAGTCTGGGATCTTTTCTGCTTCTGTAGCCCCATCTCTTGCTACTCTTGTCTTCACTTTTACGCTTCATAGATACTGATCTAATCCTAGTTTATTCTAACTCATTTTATAGAAGTCATTTGATACTACTCTGCACTGTGACTCCCCACATCATCATCATTATCCTTATTGTGGTACTGGGCATTGAACTCAGAGCCTTAGGCTTGCTAGGCATGCCCTCTACTACTTGAGCCACACCCCAGCCCACTTCTAGCATTGTTAAGTGAAGTTCACATACCCTTTTTATTAGGTTTTCTTTTCATGCATAAATTTGTGAAGTTCTCTACTGACTGAATTTGATGATATCAATTGTATGAAGACTAAAAAGCCTGTCGAGTGAAAGAATTGAATTAACTATTTCAGGCAATTTGTATGTATTAATGATACCTTAATATTTGATACTGGAATAGGTTTTATCACTGATACAGAAGTTCTTGCCATCCCTGGTTTAGATATTCCTTATTTGTGGAGACTTATGTGCTGTTTGTTTGCCTTGTATTTTTTCAAGATGGGGAAACAGAAAGAAGGAAAAGAAATGTTATTAGGAGGAGATAAATAAGTTTGAGTAGCAAAAATGCAAAGCAGAGAGAAAGGACAGTGCTGTGATTCCCATTTTCAAGGAGCCTATGTTCTGTATAGGGAGTCAACATGTAGTTTGGCTAACAAAAACCGTATCTAATAGGTGGAAAGACTATCTCCCAGTTGGACAACGGATGCCTGGGACTCGTTTTATTGCTTTCAAAGTTCCTTTGCAAAAGGTAAGCAACAGTTAATTCTGTATTCTTCTGGAAGTCTTAATTCATCATGTACAATGCTGGTTTTCAGCCCTATCATAGGTCATTTCTTTTTGACACAGATACTTTGTAACGTCTCTTTACTATCCTGAAATGAAATTCACATGTAATTTTATTTTATTTTATTAATTAATTAATTAATTTGCAGAAAGTAGGAAAGTACATTTCCCAAGGAAGACTGGGAGTGGGCACTAGTGAGGTGGCATGACAGCAGCACATGAGCTGGGCACCTGTGGCTTACACGTAGGAGCTACTTGAGAGGCTGAGAGTTCACAAGACAGCCCATCTCCAAAATAACCAAAACAAAATGGATGGCAGGTGTGGCTTTAAGCTTGCTTTGCAAGCATGAAGCTGAGTTTAAACCCCAGTTCCCCCTTTGAAAAAAGAGTAGCACCTGTAGCTCAAGAACCCCCATACATAATTTTAAAGAAATCCATGTTATTCCCTAACTATAATATAAGCTTCGCTGGGTGCTGTGGCTCATGCCTGTAATCACAGACCCTAGGGAGGTATGGAGATGGGAGGATTGCTTGGTGAGATCCTGTCTCAACCAACAAGCCAGGCATAGTGTTGCACATCTGTGATGTCATCTATGTAGAAGCCATAGGTAGCATCACCTGCAAAATGCAAGAGCCTATCTGAAAAGTAACTAAGGACTAAAGCAAAAAAGTACTGGGGGCATGACTCAAGTGGTAAAGCACTTACCTAGCAAGCATGAAGCCCTGAGTTTAAACCCCAATACTGCCACAAAATAAAGTAGTATTTCAATATGTAATTATGTGGGTATTTCACAACACTAGAAGACAAAAAATATTACAGTCTTCACTTTGTTCTTAAGGTGTTTACTGTGCTGGGAAATTCAATGTGCATAAACATTGTGCCATAAAACCCTTTATGTTTATTTGTGAAGTGGAGTTAGGTTCTAAGACTTAGGTAAATATGAACTTTTTTAAAAACCTATGTTAAAAGTTGATGGGGACATTCCAAAGTCATTCAGCAAGTTGGACACAAACACAGAAATAGAGATACCAGGCGAGCTTTTGTTCTTCCTTTTGATCACTAGAAGAGAGACTCATAATACAGCTTCCAGGTGAGTGGAAACTTTACATTGACTCTCATTGTATGTTAGCCTCATAGGGCGTGAACAAATGCATGATATCACATAGGACTTTAAGCACGTTTGTCTTCTCTTGTTTCATTCTCTGACAGAAGTTTGAAGTGAATCTTGCTCCAGAAGAACGCTTTTCCCCTTTGGATCTTTTTAACAAAATCCAAGAACAAAATGAAGAGATTGGACTGATTATTGATTTAACATATACTCAGCGCTATTATAAACCAGAGGTAAAAATTGAAAAGAACTTACTTCATTCTGATGCTAAAATAATTCACAGTAATTCAGTAGTTTTCATCTGGAGCTGATGTGAAACCTGGCCTTCTTTCATGGGTGGTAGTTTTAAAAGGGAACCAAACGGCATGTTAAACATGTTAACTGCTGGCTGAAAATGAAATTGGAGGCAAGGTGAAGGCAAGGTGAAGAATGCCTGTAATCCCAGCACTCTGGAGGCTGAGACAGGACAAAAATGAATTCCAGGCCAATCAGTGTTACATAGTGAGTTTGAGGCTTGCCTGGGTTACATAGCAAGACCCTTTCTCAAAAAACATAAGTAACAACACAAAAAAAATTGGAAACATGAATTGAATTATAATGTTTTGTCACAATTACTATTGTTAATGTACCCAGATCTTTTTTGTCATCCCTTTCCCCACCCTCCATCCCCTGGCAACTTCTAATGTACTTTCTTTTTGAGTTTGCCAGTCATAAGTGCCTCATACAAGTAGACACAGGTCATATTTGTCCTTCTGTGTCTGGCTTACTTCACTAATCATGGTTTCAAGGTTTATCCATGCTGTAGCAGGTATCAGAATCTTAATCTTTTTCATAGCTGAATATTCCATTTTGTGCATATGCCCTGTTTTGTTTATACCTTCATCTATTGATTGGCACTTGGATTGTTTCTTCGGCTACTGTGAATAATACTGCTTTGAAATTGGTGTACAAATATTTGTTCAAATATTTGCTTGCAATTCTTTTAGATGTGTTGCTAGGAACAGAATAGATGAGTCATATGGTAGTTCTGTGTTTAACCTTATGAGAAACTGCCAAACTTTCCCAGTGTTGTCTTCTTTTATTATGTGCCAGGTGCCAGTGGCTCATAACTATAATGCTGGCTATTTGGGAGGCTGAGATTCCGAAGATCAAGGTTAAAGTCAGCCTGGGCAATAGCACAGGTAATAGCCCAGGCAAATGGTTTGAGATCTCCAAAATGACTCAAGCAAAATGAGCTGGAGGTGTGGCTCAAGTTGTAGAGTATCTGCTTTGCAAGTGGGAAGCCCTGAGTTCAAACTTCAGTCCCACCAAAAAAAAAAAAAAATTATAAACTTGCATATACAGAAATAGATATAATGGTTATATGTGTTCATTATATACCCATTAATTCATCCACTTTAGTATTTATCATCCGGTGGCTACTGTGTTTCATCTATACCCCTACTTATTTCACCCCATTTTATATTATTTTAAAGCCAATCTCAGATATCATATAATTTCACCTCTACATCTTCATTGTGTATATTTAAAATACAGTACTTTTTTCCTGAATATCAATTACTTAATATCAAATATCCAATCAGTGCTTAAACTAGCAATTATCTCCTAAGCGTCATAAAAATTGTCACTTTGCAATTGGCTAAGTCCCTCTAAGTCTTTGTTAATCTATAGATTCTCTTCCATGTACTTTTTGTTTTTCCCTCGCCTAGAATTCCATCTTTTGAAGAAATCAGGGAGTGTTCTGTAGATTTTGATAATTGTACCTCCAAGTGTTAACTATTTTTTTTGGTGGGATTAGGGTTTGAACTCAGGGCTTCCCACTTAGAAAGCAGGTGCTCTACAACTTGAGCCACACCTCCAATCCATTTTGCTCTGGTTATTTTCAAGATGGGATCACAAGAACTAGTTGCCCAAGCTGGCTTCAAACCCCAATCCTCCTGGTCTCAACCTCCCAAGTAGCTGGGATTACAGGCATGAGCCACCTATACCCAACTCGTTAAAATATTTTTTAGTTCTTTTATTTTCTGCAAATTGGTAGTTGGATCAGCTCAGCCAGATTCAGGCTTGGTTTTGTCTATTTTCATTGGTGTTGTTTGCAAGACACTTTCTTGTGTGTGTGGTTTCCATTTATTTTTTGGTGGTACTGGTGTTGAACTCACACTTGCTAAGCAAGCACTCTACCACTTGAGCCACACTCCCATCCCTTTTTGTTTTGTTTTTTAGATAGGGTCTCACATTTTTGCCTCTGCTGGCTTCTGGCCATAATCCTTTTATATCTGCCTCTTGTAGCTGGGATCCTATAGGCATTTAACACCACACCTGGCATGTTGTTTGAGATACTGTCTCGCTACCTTTTTTTACCCATGACCTCAAACCATAGTCCTCTCATTTCTGCTACCAAAGTAGCTGGGAGTGTAGGTGTGTGCCTCCATAGCCTGCATGTGTGTGCTTTGAAATGGGATCTCCCAGTGCTGCCCAGCCTGATCATGAGCTCCAGCGTTCAAGTAGTCCTCCTGCCTCAGCCTCCTGAAGCTGTGTGCCATCATCATTCCCAGTGCATGACCATTTCATAGCTGATGATACGTTCTTCCATCAGGGGTTATAATGAGTGGTTGTCTCTCCCAGTGGTGTTACCCGTCTTTGGTGATTGATCAATTTCTTTGGAATTTCAAAAAAAGGTGATTGTTCTTTTCTTTTATCTGTTTTGAGACAGGGTTTTGCTGTGTAGCCCAGACTGCCCTTGAACTCGAGATATTTCTGCCTCAGCCTCCCAAGTGCTGAGTTTACAGGTGTGCATCAACACGCCAAGCTAAGAAAAGGTGAATTCTGTCTTTTTTGTTTCAATTATTAAAGAACTTTCCTCTCATTTGGTTGCCTAGTAATGTAGGCACAATTGTTTCCTTTATTTAAAATTTCAAAATAATATAAATTGGTTCCCTAATATCTTCTAATGGTGCCTAATTAGATTTTATTTTGTTAGTTTTGTTTTTATAGTATGATAAACTCCATTGCAGTTGTTTTTCTTATTGAGGTACAGTTGAAGTCCTCCCTGGATAGTTGGAGCTTCTCAACTGGTCTCCTGAGATCTTTTGACACAACCTTACTAATTTTTTTTATCAGTTTTTTGCTATTTGTATGAAATAAGTTCCAGACTCATCCTGTACTGGTCCTATCCCAACCTCAACCAGCCATTTTAACAAGTGCTTTGATTTCTTTTGGTGGGAATCATATTTAGAGAGAGATTACCATCTGTGTGCTAGAGATGTTGACATGGAATTACAATTATGTGTAATGTAAACTACATCATGGGTTCATGCTTATACTTTCCATTTAAACTCAGCTACAGGATTTTCACTTAACCTCTTCTGTCTCGTATCCATATCTACTTTCACCCATCCTGTGAATACTTTTTTTTTTTTTACTGGTGGTGGTATCACTGTTTAAACTCAGGGACTTGCTCTTGCTAGGCAGGCACTCTACCATTTAAGCCATACCCTAGCCCTGTCCTATAGTTTTTCTTTTTTTTTTATTCACATGCGCAAACATTGTTCGGGTCATTTCTCCTCCCTATCCCCCAACCCCACTGTCTCCCCTCCTATCCCGCTCGCTTCCAGGCAGAACCTGTTCTGCCTTTATCTCTAATTTTGTTGAAGAGAAGACATAAGCATAATAAGAAAGACAAAGCATTTTTGCTAGTTGAGTTAAGGATAGCTATACAGAGAGATTCCTAGCATTGCTTCCATGTACAAATATGTTACAGCCCAAGTTGATTCATCTCTAACTGATCTTTATACTGGTTCCTGATCCCCTTCTCTTGTTAACCTCTGTCGCTTTAAAGTTTCTATATTAATTCCTCTGGAGTGGGGACATCAAACGCTTTCATGTTTTGGATTTACTACCTATCCCCATACCTCCCGTGTGTACTCTCCCCTTGTCATGTGATCCAAGTCCAACCACAATGCTGTATTTGCACTAGATCTAAAGTCTGCATATGAGGGAGAACATACAATTTTTGGTCTTCTGAGCCTGGCTGACCTCGTTCAGAATGATGTTCCCCAGTTCCCATCCATTTACTTGCGAATGCTAACATTTCATTCTTCTTCATGGCTGAGTAAAATTCCATTGTGTATAAATACCACATTTTCTTGATCCATTTTTCAGTAGAGGGGCATCTTGGTTGTTTCCATAGTTTGGCTATTGTGAATAGCGCTGCAATAAACATGGGTGTGCAGGTGCCTTTGGAGTAACCTGTGTTGCATTCCTTTGGATATATCCCCAGGAGTGGTATTGCTGGATCGTATAGTAGGTCTATGTTTAGATTTTTAAGACGCCTCCAAATCTTTTTCCAGAGCGTTTGCACTAGCTTGCATTCCCACCAGCAGTGTGCAAGGGTTCCTTTTTCTCCACAACCTCTCCAACACCTCTCGGTGGTGTTTTTGATGATGGCTGTTCTAACAGGGGTGAGGTGGAATCTTAGTGTGGTTTTGATTTGCATTTCCTTTATGGCTAGAGATGGTGAGCATTTTTCATGTGTTTTTTAGCCATTTAAATTTCTTCTTTTAAGAAAGCTCTGTTTAGTTCAGTTGCCCATTTCTTTATTGGGAGAGTTTAGTTTCTTAAGTTCCCCATGTATTCTGATTATCAGTCCTTTGTCTGATGTGTAGCTGGCAAATATTTTCTCCCACTCTGTGCATGGTCTCTTCAGTTTAGAGACCATTTCTTTTGTTGTACAGAGCTTTTTAATTTTATGAAGTCCCGTTTGTCCATTCTTTCTCTTAATTGCTGCACTGCTTGGGTTCTATTGATGAAGTCCTTGCCTATACCTATTACTTCCAGGGTGTTTCCTGCTCCTTCCTGTACTAACTTCAGAGTTTCGGGTCTGATATTAAGGTCTTGATCCATTTTGAGTTGATACTAGTACAGGGTGATGGACATGGATCTAGTTTCAGTTTCTTGCAGATTGATAACCACTTTTCCCAGCAACATTTGTTGAAGAGGCTGTCTTTTTCCATTGTACATTTTTGGCACCTTTTCAAAAATAAGGTGAGTATAGTTGTATGGTTTTATATCCCGGTCCTCTATTCTGTTCCACTGGTCTTCATGTCTGTTTTTGTTCCAGTACCATGCTGTTTTTATTGCTATTGCTTTGTAATATAGTTTGAAGTCGGGTATTGTGATACCTCCAGCATTACTCTTTTTGCTGAGTATTGCCTTGGCTATTTGCGGTTTCCCAATGAACTTTAGGGTAGATTTTTCAATCTCTATGATGAACGTCATTGGGATTGTGATGGGAATTGCATTAAACGTGTAGATTACATTTGGAAGTATAGCCATTTTTACTATGTTGAGTCTATCAATCCGTGAGCAGGAAATCTTTCCATCTTCTGTAGTCTTCCTCGATCTTATTCTTCAGGAATTTGTAATTCTCCTTGTAGAGGTCATTCACATCCTTCGTTAAGTTTACTCCTATGTATTAGATTTTTTTTGAGGCTATTGTGAATGGAATTGTTTCCATATATTACTTCTCAGTTTGTTAGTTGTTGGTGCAAGTTGATTTTGTATCCTGCCACCTTGCTATATCTGCTTATGGTGTCTAAGAGTTTTTGGGTAGAGTTTTTTGGGTCTTTAAGGTATAGGATCATATCATCTTCAAATAGGGATATTTTGACAGTTTCTTTACCTATTTGTATTCTTTTTATTTCTTCTTCTTGAGTAATTGCTCTGGCTAGAAATTCCAGTACTATGTTGAATAGGAGTGGGGATAGTGGGCACCCTTTCGTTCCTGATTTTGGGGGAAATGCTTTCAGTTTTTCACCATTAAGTATGATGTTGGCTGTAGGTTTGTCATAGATAGCCTTTACAATGTTGAGGTACATTCCTTCTATTCCTAGTTTTCTTAGAGCTTTTATCATGAAGTGGTGTTGGATCTTATGAAAGGCTTTTTCTGCGTCTATTGAGATGATCAAGTGGCTTTTGTCTTTGCTTCTATTAATGTGCTGTATTACATTTATAGATTTGCATATGTTAAACCACCCCTGCATCCCTGGGATGAAGCCAACTTGGTTATGGTGTATGATCTTTCTGATGTGTTGTTGGATTCGGTTTGCCACTATTTTATTGTGGATTTTTTCATTAATATTCATTAAGGAAATTGTTCTCCTTTTTGGAGGTGTTTTTGTCTCGATTTGGGGTGAGAGTAATATTGGCTTCATAAAATGAGTTAAGCAGTGTTCCTTCCCTTTCTATTTCATGGAACACTTTAAACGTTTGACAGAATTCAGCAGGGAATCCATCAGGTCCTGGACTTTTCTTTTTTGCGAGACTCTTAATTGCTGCTTCAATTTTGTTTGTGTTATAGATCTCTTCACGTAATTAATATCCTCTTGGTTCAGTTTTGGATGGTCATAAGTATTTAGAAATCTGTCCATTCAAATTTTTCAAATTTATTAGAGTATAGGCTCTCAAAGTAGTTTCTGATGATTTCCTGAATTTCTGTGGTGTTTGTTGTTATCTCCCCTTTCACATTTCTGATTTTACTGATTTGAGTTTTTTTTCTTTGCTCATTTTAGTCAGGTTTGCCAGGGGTTTGTCAGTCTTATTTACTTTTTCAAAGAACCAGCTTTTTGTTTCATTAATTCTTTGTATGATTTTTTTTGTTTCTGTTTCATTGATTTCAGCCCTTATTTTAATTTTTCTCTGCTTCTGCTTGTTTTGGGGTTTGCTTGTTCTTGTTTTTTGAGTTTGAGTTTGAGCTGTAGTATTAGATCATTGATTTGAGATCTTTCTGACCTTTTAATGTATGCACTAGTGGCTATAAACTTTCCTCTTAGGACAGCGTTTGCTGTGTCACATAGGTTCCGGTAGGTCGTGTTTTCATTTTCATTAACTTCCAGGAACCTTTTACCCTCTTCTTTTATTTCATCAATGACCCATTGATCATTGAGCAATGTGTTGTTCAGCTACCAATTGTTTGCATGTTTTTTACTGCTGTTTTTGTTGTTAGTTTCTAGTTTTAATGAATTGTGGTCAGATAGAATGCATGGTATAATTTCTATTTTCTTATATTTGCTGAGGCTTGCTTTGTGCCCTGAGATATGATCAATTTTGGATAAGGTTCCATGAGCTGCTGAGAAGAATGTATTTTGTGCAGAAGTTGGATGAAATATTCTGTAGACATCAGCTAGGTCCATTTGATCTATGGTGTGATTTAGTTGTAGAATTTCTTTATTGATTTTTTTGTTTGGATGACCTATCTATTGGTGATAGGCGGGTATTAAAGTCTCCCAATACCACTGTGTTGTAGTCTATATATGTTTTTAGGTCCTTCAGAGTATGTTTGATGAAATTGGCTGCATTGACATTGGGTGCTTATAGGTTGATAATTGTTATTTCCTTTTGGTGTATTTCCCCTTTTATTAGCATGGAATGTCCTTGTTTCTCACATTTGATTAATATAAGTTTAAAGGCTACTTCGTCCAAGATAAGTATTGCTACCCCTGCCTGTTTTGGGGGGCCATTGGCTTGGTAAATCTTCCAGCCTTTCACCCTCAGCCAGTGCTTGTTTCTGTCGATGAGGTGGGTCTCCTGTAGGCAGCAGATTGTTGGATCTTCCTTTTTAATCCACTTTGCCAAATGGTGTCTTTTGATGGGGGAATTAAATCTGTTAACATTCAGTGTTAGTATTGATAGGTATGTTGTGATCCCTGTCATTTAGTTGCCTTTTGTTTAAGGGTTTGATTGTGTGCAGCTGAATCAATGTTATTCTCTACTTTCTTGCCTTTTCTTCTCCTGTGGTTTGGTACTGCCTGCCCTTTCATTGTTTTGTTTGTTTTCACTTTCTGTGCAGAGTTCCTTGAAGAATCTTTTATAGTGGTGGCTTAGTGGTCATATATTGTTTTAGTTTCTGCTTATCATGGAAGACTTTTATTGCTTGATCTATTTTGAATGATGGCTTTGCTGGGTAGAGTATCTTAAGGTTGAAGTTATTTTCATTCAGTGCCCAGAAGACCTCACTCCATGCTCTTCTTGCTTTTAAGGTTTCTGTTAAGAAATCTGTGATTTTGATGGGTTTACCTTTGTATGTTATTTGTTTTTTCTCTCTTACAGCCTTCAGTATTCTTTCTCGGGTCTCTGTGCTTGTTGTTTTAATGATAATATGTTGTAGGGTAGTTCTATTTTGGTCAAGGCTGTTTGGTGTCCTGGAGGCTTCCTGTACTTGAATGGGCATAGTTTTCTCTAGATTTGGGAAATTTTCTGTTATTATTTTGTTGAATATATTACTAATTCCTTTTGCTTGCTCCTCTTCTTCTTCTTCAATGCCCATGATCTCAGGTTTGGTCTTTTTGATGGAGTTGGTGAGTTCTTGCATATTCCTTTCACAGGACTTGACTTGTCTGACTAATAGTTATTCAGTTTTTCCTTTAATTACCATTTCATCTTCAAGTTCTGAGATTCTGTCTTCTTGTTCTAATCTGGTAAAAGTGGCCTTCCATTTTGTTTTGTTTTTCTGTTTCATTCTTTTTTTCTGAGGTTTTCCATATCATGGGTCATTTACTCTTTAATATTGTCACTTTTCAGCCTTAATTCCTTTATCTCTTTTTTGGTGTTTTCTGTTTTACTTTGGTGTTTATTTAGGGCTCCATGATTTCATATATTTGTTTTTGTGTTTTCTCATATTCTTTATTTTTGTTGCCTTGGAATTTCTTGACTGCCTCCTGTACATTTTGGTTGACCATGTCTAGTAACATCTCTATGAAATTCTCATTGATTACTTGCAGAATTTCTTCTTTCATGGTGTTCTTATGGGCTTTGTTGGGTTCCTTGGTATAGTTTATTTTTGTTTTGTTGGAGTCTGGATCTGGGTATCCATTTTCTTCATTTCCCTCTGAATCCTGTACTGTTTTATTTTGGGGGACAAAATGGTTTCCATCCCTTTTTCATCTTCCCATAATTCCACTTCGTACTGTTTCTTTCCCTGGTCTATGTGTAATTTAGTATTAGCTAACTTACAATAGTAAAATTTCAAAACCAAGAAAGAAGGAGAAAAAAGAAGAAGGAAAAGAAAGAGAAAAAAAATGGAGAACCAAAGAAATCAACAGGGAGAGATGGTGGATAATCAAACAGCGAACAAGACAAACAAGCACTTAAAGAAAAGAAAAAAAAAAAAAGAAGAAAAAAAAATTCCTGGTTCAGGAACAGTAGAATTTCAGTCTTAGTAGTTCTGGTGTTTTCCTTTAGCATCCAGTCCTGTTTGTCAGTCCTGTTTGTCATCTCTTAGGCAGATGCTGGAGACCTCCTGTGGCCGGCGGCTGGTGTGTTGGCAGGCCATTGGGCGGGCCGAGTCCTGGCGGGAGTGGGTGGGGCGATGGCCTGGCAGGTGGGCCATCCCACCTGTTCTTTCAGTGTATCATGACATGGAGAAGCCTTCCACCGGCTGGGGGTTCAGGGTGCCGAAGTTTCAGCTTTCCCTGGTGCTTTACCTCAGCCAAGCATGACTCCAGTGTCTCAGCAAGGTTCCTGATTCCTAGAGCTCACGCTGTCTGCATCTGTGTCCCAGTTGCCATTTTGGATCCTGTGGTGTCCTATTGTTTTAATGAAAACCAAATTATACTTCCTGCTTGATGAAGCTTTTGGCAAGTGTTTCTTTTTATCAGTATTGTTGATATATTGTTTATTGTAATCAAGTGGTTCATCTTCTGGCTCTTTAATCATTAATTCTTTTTTCACAAAGGAAATAATGTATGTATTTTCTCGGTTTTGCTTTATAGGAATTACCAGAAACTGTTTCTTACTTAAAAATTTTTACAGTTGGGCATCAGATACCTCATGATGATACTATTTTTAAATTCAAATGTGCTGTTAATGGATTTTTGAAAGAAAATAAAGACAATGGTGAGTTCTTACTTTTTTTTTCCTTTTCTGAACTTTGGTGTTTTTTGAATGGTGTTGATGATTTTTTTTGTAGTAGTTCTGACATTAGGCTTGTAGTCTTTGATGATGTTAAGGTGAAAATGTCAGATGGTAGCAGTAGAGTAAGGTGTTTTTCCTTTGGTTGATCATAAATAGAACATTTAACTTCCTTTGGATACTGCTTTTAGTGAGAAGTATGAACTATGCCAAACAAAGTCACTCATCTCTTAAAATATTGGATGGGAAATATGTAAAAAATAACAGTGCTCTTTTGTCTTAAATATTGGCTAAAAGATGACAGAAAACATTAAAAATGTCAGGGCTTGAGAGTTAAATGAGGCAGTCCCCTAGAAGCAAAACAAGGGCTGGGAGCATGGCTCAATGGTAAGATGCCTGCCTAGCAAGCAAGCTAGTTCCTACCCCACTACCCACCAATAACAAAAATATTTTGAAAACAAGCAAAAGAAAACATGAGTAAGTGAGTGAAGTTGCATCTTTGTTATCCATATGTAAGGTATTGCTGCTGTTTTTGTAGTAAGGGCAGTTGTGCTTGTATTTATTATCAAAAGTGATGGCTTGCCTGTGATGTAGCTCAGTACAGCACTTGCCTGGCATGTGCTGTGCCCCAGTTTCAATCCCCAGCTTTGAAAAAAAAGTATAGTTATTCGATGTGTTTTTATCAGAAACACATAGAATGTTCTTATCCTAGCCACTTGGTTTTATTTTTCATAAACATTTTCTGTAATAAGTTACTGATGGGCAGTCTAATTAAGACAAAGGAAAAATTTGTCTCAGTGCAGTTATAGCTGTTAATACCAGTTTAGGCCTTCTGCAGTTTATATCATTAAGTAATGAGGGGCTGTGCAAAATATTCTAGAAACAATAAATATTGGCTTTCTGGTAGGTGATTATAGTATATTCTTAAAAAGCACATTCCTTTTAAGCATGATAATGGTCCTTGTAAATGTTACTCTTCAGAAAACTGTATAACTTACTTTTATGTATTTATTTCAGTTTACTTAACTCTGTATTTGTTTGTTTTATAGACAAACTTATTGGTGTTCACTGTACTCATGGTTTAAATAGAACTGGCTACCTCATCTGCAGGTGAGTTGTGAGCCCCAAAGGCAAACCATGATGAAGTTATATTTGTCTGATCACAATGGTAATATAAGCATGTTATAAGACATGTGATCAGTATAGGAATGTGTGAAGTAGAAAGACATCTTGTCCCTTACCCAGAGGTTACCATCATTAACATTTTAGTATATATCTTTTTAAACTTCAAAAATGCATATACAAGTAGTTTATGGTATTGTAGGCATTTAGCATGTGAGAAAAAAAATCTTTCTAAGTATGTCCTTGGAAACCTTACTCTTTCTAAAAGATACATTGTTCCTTTGCCTACTGATGAGCATGAAAGCCAGAAGTTTTGATACTGCAAACATTCAGTGGTGAGCACTCCTGTATGAGCTTTTTTGAATCCATATGCCAGTGTCCTAGAGATAATTTCACTCGAAATACAATTTCTGAATCAAAGAGTATATATCCTTACACTTATTATGGATATTGCTACACTGTATCTATTTATGTTTGTTTCATTCAGAAACTGTTCCTTGAGCATCTAGTATAAGTAAGCTGGGTCCTAGCAAAGAGACTTGACCTACCTTTCTGAAGAAATAGATTATGAATCACAAGAATGCATATAGATTTGACTCTGACATGTGCTAAGGAGAAGAGGGGCATGGCTCCCTCAGAGATAAATGGAATAGGAAGGTTTTACCTACTCATGGAAGTTAGAGGTTTCCATGGGAAAGTTTAAACAAATATCTGAAGGTTGCAGTGGTACTAGCCAGGAAGGGATGCCAAAGACTGTAACAGGATAACATATTCTGTGTTGGAGGAAGTGGGCCATGCGAAAGTATGGCATTAAAATCAAGCTATTCATTTGGATAAGAGCTGGTCATACATGACTGTGTTTAAGTTTTTTTCTTCCTTCCTTAAGAACAATAAACTATTGAACTTTTTGTTGGGGGTAAGTGTGTGGAACATAATCATACTGTATTTTCAACCTATCATTTTACTACTCAGTGGAGACTGTGCTGCAGAGGGAGAAGCAAGAAGTCAAGTTAGGAGCTTTTCTAAGAACTAAGGCATAATGGTAGTTTGGACCCACATGTGCTCCTCATTTTGGTGTAAAGATGTATTCATATTCTAGAGATACATAGGTAGTAGTATTGTCAAGATTTAGTGTAGGTTGAAGATGAGAGTGAGAAAGAAATGGCTAATAGTGCTGTTGATGCTTGTTTCTGTCCCAGGCAGATTGCTGCACAGTATTTTTTTAGATATGTGACTATTTTCCCAGTTTGTCTTTTGTATGCTGTTGCTTATATTTTTATGGATATTGCTGATAAAGACTCTGTCACAGTAAGGAAATCTTCTGTTTTAGGGTACCAAAGTATTTTGATCAAAAATGGCTATTGAATTTTTTTAGATAACTTTTAACATTTTGCCATTTCAGTCATGTATTTTCTTTCCTTTTTTAGTTATTATGTTAATGTAAGTACTCTTACTAATAGATTTTCTAATATTGGATCATCTTGCATTCTTGAAATAACTTTTTTGTGGTCATGGCATATCATTCTCTAATAATAGTTGGATTAGATGTGTTGATATCTTCTTAGGATTTTTATGTCTCCATTTGTAAGTGAAGTTGGACCTTTTTTGAAAAAAACTTTTTTTTTCTTTTTGTATATATAAGTGACCCAAATTATGTTGTTTTGTTAGATATTTGATTGATGTAGAAGGCATGAGGCCAGATGATGCAATTGAATGTAAGTATGAGGGTGGTCGCTATTTTTCCCTTTTTATATAAGCTAAAGGTGAAAATGTAAAGGATTTCTCACATTTCGAAAAAGTTTCTAATTCATTTGTTCCCATATAAAACACACTAACTCACATACATGTATACATACACAAACAAACAAAAAACACTCTCTTGGGACTGAGGATGTAGCTCACTGATATGGCATCTACTTAGTATGTTTGAGGCCCTGAGTTTCATCCCCAGCACCAAAAGAAACAAAACAATGTGAAATAGTCTTTTGCCAAATCTTTATAAAGAAATGTATCTGCAAGCAAGTAGTAAGATATAATGATCTAAATAATTAGTTAGTGAATTTCAGCTTTGATTTGCTTTCTCTGGGAAAGATTTGTTTTCTATGCAATTATTTCTAACAGTCCATCCACTCGTCCACTCCTCAGTATTCAATAGGTGCCGAGGACATTGCATAGAAAGACAAAACTACATTGAAGACCTTCACAATGGACCTATCAGAAAGTAAGTCTTATATTTTATGTGTGAAATCTATAGTTAAGGAGATCTCTTTTTATATTATTTAAGTTGTGTACTTTCTTCTGGTAGTTTGTTCACTTGCTGAAGAAAACCTAAACAAATAAGAATGGTGGGGAGGAAGGGATTTTTATTTTCAAAAGCTGAAATATATAGTCATTACATTGCCTACTAAATTTGGAAACCAGTAATATTGTATGGAATTATTCTTTTTGAGGAAATTGAATTCTGCTGCATCTAGGTCAGGTGGTTTGGAAGACTCAGCACATCTCATGGAACCAGTCCACCCCACTAACAAGTCTGTGAACCAAGGACCTAAGTATAACCTATACCGAACCTGTGGTTATCCAACACCTTCTCAGCGTTTTCACACCCAGACCCAGAGCTTGCAGCAGCCATTCAGGTAACCCTGCTTTCCCTTTTCCTATAACTGAAATAGAAATTAACATTACAAATTAATGAATGATGTTTTTTTATTGTTTCTTTTCGGAGGTAGTAGGGTTTGAACTCAGGGCGTCAAGCTTGCTTGGCAGGCACTGTACCTTTTGAACCACTCCACCAGACTGATTGATATTTTCTTAATGATCAATGTCAACCAGGAGGTGTCCTGCTCTGTATTTTGGAAAGTCAGATACAGGGTGGGGAATATGAGTTTTCAGAGGCAATTGGGAAAGAGACTTAGAAAGTTTCACTGATATTTTAAGCCAAGAGTTTGATGTAGCTACCAGAAAGAATTTTAGCCTTTTGTGTGGGTGTGTGTGTGCTGGGGATTGAAGCCAGAGCTTCACATGTGCAAAGCTAGTGCTCTACCACTGATCTGCATCCCTAACCCTTCAGAATTTTACATTCTGGCCAGATGTGGTGGTGCATATCTATAATCCCAGCTACTCTAGAAGCAGATGTAGAAGGATCACAGTTGGTATCTGGCCCTGGGGCAGGAGGGAGCGGGGAATGCAAGCCTCCTATCTAAAAAAGAAAGTAAAGGCAAAAAGCTGGGAGTGTGGCTCAGGTAGTAGAGTCCTTGCCTAGCAAGCCTAAGGCCCTGAATCCAAACCCCAGTACTCCAGAAAAAGTAGTTATTTGGCCTTGTTCATTTTGGCATAGTTTTCTAATTAAGGAAGGTTGTTATTTAAAAAATAAATACAGAGGGGTGTGGGGGGCATGGCTCAAGTGGCAGAGTGCCTGCCTAGTAAGTGTGAGGTCCTGAGTTCAAACCTAAGTACTACCAAAATAAAGAGTAAGCACAAATTAACATAGCTCACTTAGGATAGTCAAAGATAATGAGTTATGATTCAACAGTCAGAAAAGTTGCAAAGGGAAAAGACCAAAAGGAAATATGAACCAGATGAATTAGACTAAGTGTGATTGACAGGGACTTTTGGAGGGGGTGGTTGGGAGGGAGTATTTTTCTTTTATCAGATTTCCAAATTTTTCGTATGATTATATATGTTTATACTGATCTAGCTTTTGAAAGAAATCCTTCTTGTCTAAATTTTTTTTGCATGTACCATGGCTAGTTTTTCTGCACTTCCTAATTAGTTTATATATTTATTTATAAAGCAAAAGCAGCTTTCTGTTTTCAATACTAAATAACTTACTCTGCTTTATATCAACCTTGCCAGACTTTTGGAGGGAAAGTATCTGATAAGACTTGTGTTGGCATGTACTTATATAGGGAAATGCTCCTATGTGTTAGGGCTTTGTAGGAAATTTAAATGTATAGTCTTAATTTATTTAGCTTATGAAGAAGGGGAAGGTGTTATTAGCTCCCTTTTGTAAGAACAACAGAAAAATTAATTTATCTGCTGAGGTCATTATAGGTAGGAAATAGTAGCACCAGAATACCTATGTATTATTTTATAAAGCTTATTATATATTTTAATAATCCTAATAATGATTTATTGCTTTTTATTTCAGAAAATTTTCACAGAATCAGAATGCTTATCAGAAAAGCCGTATTCCTCCTCCCGGCCCCACTGGAGAGGACTATTCACAAAAAAGATACATTTGGAATGTGAAGCCAAATGGCAGTCAAGCAGCCCAGAATAAGAAGTGGTTTGCTGCCGGTTACCAGAGACTATCCTACCCAACCTATTGGGGATGGACCGAGTGAGACAAACCTGTCCTGGTACTACTCTACCTGGAGATGAGAGCTCAGTGAGGATGGCTAGAGTGACTTTTAATAAAATCAGGTCAAATGAGTCTTCGTCCCCCCTCCCCCCCACTTTTTAGAATCAATTTTATTGCTTCTTTGTATGTGTTCAGACTTAAAAGAATTACATCAATATTTACCTCTTTGCTGACAGAGGCACAGTAATTACAGCAATTCAAAATAAAACTGTCATTCCAGTCTTAAATTTTTCTAAAGAGAAGATATTTTAAGAACTGAGAAACTATTAAAGAATTTCCCTTATAAATTATTTTTTAAAAACTTTTTTTCCTACATATTTCCTTCTGACTAAACTTACAATGTAAGAGTGTATAGGTTCAGAAGTTTTTAGTGTTTTTATCATGCTCTCTTACCCAGTTACTAAGAGTATCTTTTTTTTCTTATAACTGTTCAAAATTTCTATTAAAGTCTAAGAGGCAGTTTTTTTAGAACCTAGTCACTACCTATGAGTAATTGTTATATTTTTGTGGTTAGGTATTTGTTGGCAGTGAGTTGTAGAATTTGACCAACTTGCTTTCACTGACTTGCCAGATACTGTCATTTAACACAGTGATAGATAAAATTTTAGGAGGTGATTATCAAATTGAACAAGAAAGACTGATTGGTAAATCAGAGTTCTGGCTAAATTAAATTATAATTTCCATGAGAGTGTTAATATCATCAACAGGGTAAAGCTATCCAGAAAGCTTCAAAACTTTTATAAATTATAAAGGTTGCTTGATAATAGAATAGATACGACCACAAATTGCCTGGGATATCTGGGAAGACTGTTGGTATTACTACTCCTGTATTGAACATAACCCTCTGGGATCTTTCTCCAGTTGCCTCTCACACTGGAGTGGTGCTTTTCCTCTGGAACACACAGGTATATTACTTGGGAGGGTGCTTATTATTTTAGCTGCAGTACTTGCTCAGGAAGTATCTCATCATCATGATACATAGTAATCTTCAGTGAACATTTGGTAAATATTTGGGCAGCTTGGCTTCACTTTTTAAAGCTTCTGATGTTAAGGATTTGTATCATAGAATGTCTAATGCTACACATGATATTTATGAGCAGTATGTGGAATCTGACTGTAAGAAAGTACTCTAACTCTTCCATTCTCCTTGCCTGTGTCTAATTTGCATAGCCAAGTTATTCTCTAAGTGATGACTCCTAAAGTTTTTCTCTGCTTGCCACATTTAACAGAAGTGCAAATGTCCTTGTTGTTACAAGCTTACTCTTGTAGAATTGTTCCCCAGGATACATCATGAAAGCTCACATTAGAAGAAAATTGGAACAAGACAATTGTGAGGCAAAAAACTAGCAGTCTCATAGTTATAAAGAACTCCGTGGCAAGCAGCTTCTGTGGAGGATACAGCCAGCTCAAGGACCATCATATAAGCTCTGTCACCTTCAAAAGTTTTTTCTTCACTTTGTTCTCCCTTCTGTTTCTTCACATTTCAGTTATCAGTATGGCTTGTCAAAAGCAAACAAAAAACTTGTTTACCATTTGATATCTCTTGTCTGCATTATTCAGCACACTGGATCTAGCTTCTGCTCATACCACACTATTGAAAAGCCTTTGGTGGAAGGGACCAGCAGCTCCCTTTTAAATGGCTTTTTAATGTTATGTTTAGGCTTTTGAAATTTATATTTCTTATTTAAAAAGTACATGTGAATAGTTTAAAATTCATAGAATTTGCCATGAAAAGGCAATACTCTGCCCCACTCCTGATTATCATTTTTGAAAGGCAACCACCTTAAGTATTTTTGCATTTCTGTCTGGTACTTGCCTGCATTGTTTAAATAATATGCTTATATCTTACCATTTCTTGATTCTTCAATTTGTGGTACTGTGCTATCTCTTGATGAATTCCTATTCTGGTAGATAAGGATTTAGCTCTTTCACAATACATACCCACTACACAGTTGTTTCCCAACTTTAAATCACCATTTTAAGTTCTTGTTACTGGGTAAATATTATTCATCATGAGTCATAGTGTACTATGGTTATGTTTCCTCTCTTATACTGCCCCGTTTCCCATTCATTTTTGCCTCATTTGTTTACCCCTTTTCATTTGAACCTATCACTAGTTTATTCCCCGTACCTATACACACAATACCTCAATGTGAGTAATACATGAGGTTTGGGGGTGGGAGGTAGGGAAATCTTTCCTGGAGCATCTGCATTTTGATCTGTTAAGTAAAGTACTAGTCAGCCAGGGCTGCCATAACAGTACCACAGACTGGGTGGCTTAAACAACAGAAATCTGTTCTCTCAAAATTCTAGAGACTAGGAAAGATGAAAGTGTCGGCAAGAGTTGATTTTTTTCAGAGGTTTCTCTTGTCTTGTAGATGGCTAGCATCTTCTCTGTCTTCAAATGGTCTGTCTTCTGTGTGTCTGTCTCTCTTTTTCCTTTTTAGTGATACTGTTTTATTGAACCCAGGGGCTTTCACATGCTAGGCAAGTGCACTGAGCTACATTCTCAGTCCTCTACTCTACGGATGCCAGACAAATTGAATGAGGGCCCAACCTAGTGACCTCATGTTAACTTATTTACCTCTTTAAAGGCTCTATTTCCAAATGCAGTCACATGTACAGATACTGAGGGACTAGAACTTAAACATACAGATTTTGAGGAAATAACAACTCAGTTCATAAGAAGCACATTGGCTATTCTCTAGACCTAGAATAAAGCCTCTGCCCTTTCACCTTAATTATTTCTTAGGCCCCTATTGTTTCTCCTGGATCTCATAGCTGCTTGCTAAATGGTTTACTTCCCTGGTTGGTACATTATATTCTTCAGTAGCTTCCAGGTGTCGATGGGATGTAGTTTGAATGACTGAAATGGATATATTTTACTTTCTCTACATTGGTAGTTTGATTAGCTGTAGGTGCTTTTTAATTCATTATTCATTGTTCTGGATTTTGTTGTTGCAACTGAAAAACCTATGCATTCTATTTGCATATCCAGAGCTTTTATTTGTGACCTGAAGTTATAGAATTTTCTTTTATCTCAGGTGTCTTAATGGTTTTTGTTTTTTTTGTTTTTTTTTTTTTTTTTCATTCATAGTGCTATTTACTTAGCCATTTCAGTCTGGCAAGTTGTGAGAAATTTTCATTTTGAGGGATTTTCTCTTGAGGGAACTTCCAGTTGAATGTTGCATTTTCTGAAATGTACCTCACAGTTACTTGAGTTTTTTGTTTTGTTTTTGTTTTTCTCTCTTATTTTCCATTTTTAACCCTTTTGCTTTAAATTTTTTGGGGCTGAGGATTGAACCCAGGGTACTGTACCACACTGAGTTACATACCCATCCAGCCCCCTTTTAAGATACACACACAAACACATGCTCACACACACACACACACACACACACACACATTATTTTTTTAAAAGATGGAGATGGGATTTTACTATGTTATCCAGGCTAATGTTGAACTCCTGGGCTCAAGTGACCCTCCTGCCTCAGTCTCCTGAGTAGCTGGGACTATCAGTGCATGCCACCATGACCAGTTCTATATTTTTAATTACTAAGAATTAGCTCTCATTTTTTAATGAATACATTATCTTATATCTCTTTAAGTAAGTTTCTTTCTTTTCTTGCATCAACTTACTTTCTTTGAAAATTTTATTGCCATCTTTCCCAATGTCCTGGGAATTTTTACCCTTAAAAATTCCTTTACTGTCATGTTAGTGGGGTTTGGGTAGGAGCCAGAGATGCAGGCATGAAAGCTGGTGTAATGAATATTTAATTGCCAAATAAATTGCTTTTGGGGTTTATTCTCAGTCTGATAAACTTAGGTATTTTTATCATGTCCCAGGAGTATAGGCCATTGAGTGTCCTGTCGTGATTTGGACCTATAATGTCGCAAACACTCCTACTATGGAGAGAGGTACAATCTAGGATCCTATGTAAACCTCCTTTCTAATGAAACTCTTTAACAACTGTCCCAGAATTACAGTCATCCATTCCATTTTCATTTTTCTATCAAGGCTTCCTGTATCTGACTTCAAGCTGACTTCTCAACACTCTTTACTGTGTCTACTCCATGTCTATGTGCCAGCCATTTCGTGAGTACACTACGCCAAACATGCCTCTGTCCTTTGTCTTTCAGGTTGCTCCTTTGGCTGTAGTGCCTCTCTTATGGCCTTGTGTGAGCCAATCATTCTCTTTGTATAAACCATATCTCCATATAGTCTCCCAACTCTACCCCTCAATGAATGATCCCTTTTTCGACAGGGTACCTTGTGTCATTATTTCATTTATATATCATACTATTTCAGGTTCTATGCCACCATGTCAGATTCCCTCAACCCTCTCCTCTCTGACAGTAATACGGTTCTCTGCGGCCACACCCCATTTTGCCTTTTTAGGCAAGCCTTATTGAGATCTCCAGGCTGACTAAAACACAAGTTAACTCTGGCCCCACACCAAGCCCTCTCTGTTTTTGATATGCCCCTATTTTAGAATTCAGGGAAATGCTTCACAGTAGGCCATGGGGTCTGGCTTTATGAGCTGCTACTGAAGAGTGAGTTGATGATCCAGAAGTGTGGAGAGTCAGCTCACTCTGGGGGTTTTGATTAAGGAATGCTGAGAGGAGGGGAGGGGAGCCTGGCAGTAATGTCCTTTTATTGTCTACCTACTGTAGATAATTCTCAGCCATGGTTTTACTTGTGAGACAGAAGGTTCTGCTTACCAAGCGAACAACCTGTCAAATAACCTGCATGTCTGTCTTCCTGGCTCACTCACTGTCAAGCCAGTGAGGTAACATATTACATCATATTGCTTCATGTTGTTCCTTGCTTCAGTCTTTTTCCTCACTGTTACCGCTGTTTTTTTATGTATCTCAAATAAAATACCAGTGATTTACTTCTTGCCTGGTCTCTGCTTTCTAGAGGATCTCAGATACTTTTTACAAAATCTGGCAGTCATAAGCTTCTAACTGTTCAGCCATATAGATGAGAGTGGGAAGGATCAGATCTTTCCCACTAATTTGACTTTGAATTCTCCAAATACATCTTAAGAACAGAAATGTCAGTTATATCTAAGGTAACAATTTATCAAGAATTAGGGTTTCAGCAACTAAGATAGCATAGATAAATGGGACTTCATAAAACAAAAGCTTCTGCTCAACAAAAGAAATGGTCTCTAAACTGAAGAGAACACCCACAGAGTGGGAGAAAATATTTGCCAGCTACACATCAAAGGACTGATAACCAGAATATATAGGGAACTCAAAAAACTAAAT